CCTCCCCCCCCCCCCTCGGTTCTCCGCTAACATGTTTAATCCAGCCCTGGGGTGTTTTCCAGACGCTTACCATCACCTACGCCTCGGAAGTCTGCCCGGTCAACATGAGGGCGTACCTCGCAAGCTACGTTAATTTCTGCTGGGGTCTCGGCCAGTTCATCGGAATTGGGGTCATTATGTCCATGTTAGATCGTGATGACGAGTGGGCTTATCGGATCCCCTATGCCCTCCAATGGATGTGGCCACTTCCGTTGGCCGTCGGCATCTTCTTTGCCCCGGAGTCCCCCTGGTGGTTGGTCCGGAAGGGGAAGTTGGACAAAGCCAAGGCCTCCCTGCTACGCCTTACCAGCTTGAACCTGGAGACGGAATTTGATGCGGATGAAACCGTAGACATGATGGTACACACCACGGCTCTGGAGGAGAAAACTACAAAGGGAGCTTCCTACTGGGACTGCTTTAAGGGGCACGATTTGCGAAGAACAGAGGTAAAGTTCACACCCTCTCCTAATACAATTTTGCATTGGCACAGGACCATACGTTGGCTGACTCAGATTATACAGATCGTATGTGCCTGCTGGGGTATCCAGAACCTTTCAGGCAACTCATTCTCAAACTATTCCACATATTTCCTCACCCAAGCCGGTCTCGACTCCAACAGTGCGTATGGATTTGCGCTGGGGCAGTATGGTATCAACATGGTGGGCGTTATCGGCGCGTGGTTTCTCATGAGCCGTGGCGTCGGCCGCCGGTCCCTCTACCTGTACGGCCTCTGCGGGCTCTGCGCTATGCTCCTCGTACTTGGCTTTCTCGGCCTAGTTCCCGAATCGCACCGACGTGAAGGCTCCATTGCCACCGGCAGTATCATGTTGGGCTGGGCCTTGATGTACCAACTCACAGTCGGGACGGTTTGTTATTCTTTGGTAGGCGAATTGTCTACGCGGCGGTTGCAGATCAAGACAGTTGCCCTCGGGCGCGTGTTTTAGTAAGTAATTTCCCTAGCCCCCTTCACAGAGAGAGGGCGGCATACTTGTTCATCTCGACCGAGCCAGTGAGGACTAACCCACGTTACAGCATCATTGTAAACATCATCTGCTCTATCATCACCCCTTACATGCTTAATCCTGGTGCGTGGGACTGGAGGAACTTTGCAGGTTTCTTCTGGGCTGGCCTCTGTTTTCTCTGTGTGGTCTACACCTACTTCCGGGTACCAGAGCCAACAGGCCGGTCGTTTGCCGAGTTGGATTTACTCTTTGAGAAGGGGGTCAGCGCTCGCAAATTCGCGACGACCAAGGTCAACGTGTTCGCGGAAGATGTGGGCGGCGACTTTATGAACAAGTACCATCAACGAGCCAAAGCTCAACCCACGGAGTTCTACGCATCTTAGGGGGAAAGCAGAGTAGTAGGGCAGTTAAACAGGGAAATGTTGATACGTACATACCAATGTCTTCTCACCAGCGCGGCACCGAAGTGAAACTCAAGACCACGCTTTCTTACATACGGTTGCTCAAACGGGGCGGAAATGGAGAGAAAGCCGATGTGCTGCCCTGATTTCCCCGGAGCTCTTCGCCCGAGAAAGGTTGCGTGGACAGCAACATCGTGAGTTCAATGACGTAATATCAGGCAATAAAAATGGTGTCTGTCTGGACTGGCGCTGCAACCGCGTGTGCATGTGGTTGCCAAGGAGGGCGACCCAGGATGTACGAGGGATCATGGTTTGAGACAAACAAACCAAGGTGACACAACGCACGATTACTCGTGGCGGCAGATGTCTCGAGGGCCGAATGGTTTTTGCATTTTCCTGGCTCCTGCCCTCCGAGCTTTAGACGATCTTCACCTGTAACTAACTGCTGTTCAACTTGTTCAGTTGTTTCTTCGTCCGCTCGATTTGCCCTAGGGTACCCTAACACTCTCATGCGGGCCAAGATACTAGGTGTATTGTAGGTAAGCTCGAGGTAGGTCGGACGGTCATACGTTGAACTTCGAGCGAACACATGGGACGAACTGACGGGTGTAAATGCCCCACCACCCTGGTTCACGCACAGTGACGTCGAGGGTCGAGGGTCGAGGGCCGCCTGATCGAGAAATGGGAACTTGAAGCCGAGAGAAGCCACCCCGTTTGCTAAAGTCTACGGTATTCACAAAACGCTAAGCCTGCTTCAATGGTACAAATGTGAGACACCTTGCCATTCCTGCCATTTTTTTCTCTTTTTCGGGCTGGGATTCCCCGATTTTTTCCTCCAAGTCACTCGATTCAGAGCGACTTCGCAACTCTTGCAGCCACCCATTCACCAAGGACCCCTGCGGCTTGGCACACCATCGCCGGCCCCGCCCCACATACATGCACCCTGAGACCCTCTCCAATCTACCCATCCACCTCAGTTGTCGCCATCCCGCCGCCTCCCGTTTCAAACCTCGAGAAACCACGAAAACAACGATCATTGTTTAGCTTGGGTTCTTTTAACTTCTCCCTTTTCCTTCGATCCTGAAGACGGCACGAAGTACAACGAAAGTTCGCCATGACGAGCACGACAGACTCAGTCCCGGCGCATACCCCGCCTGGGTCATCAGCCCCACGCCCAAAAGGTGAGTGAGCTTGAGCCATTTCTCTGCGGGAGCTCAATGGATGGCAAAGAACGGCTCTGTCTAACCATTATGTCATTCCGGTATGGCCAGGAATCCTCAAAAACGCCTCTTACCGCGCCTCCCCTCCTGTCTCGCCCACCAACGCCCAACCCCCTCTCTCTTCCTCGATTCCACATGGTAGCGCCCACCCGCAGCTAGAACACCCACTCACTCCTAAGGAGGCCAAGGAGTTGACCATTGCCAACACGCAATTCAACGCCGGCCACCGCCGCTCCTCATCCTCAGCAACCCGACCCGGCGCCTCCTCCCGGCGACAAAGCTCCCTCCAGGGCCATGAAGCCGGCGACGACGCAAGCGGAGAGAACGACGAGCCCGGACAGCGACTCAAGTGGGACGAGGCGAACCTGTACCTGACCGAACAGGAACGCACCAGCACAATGAAGATCAACGAGCCCAAGACGCCGTATGCGAAACACTACGACCCGGCCGAGGACCCGTCGGACGACGAAGAGGGGGACATAGGCGAGCCGATTGACCCGAAGAACGTGGATTTGGACAAGGTGGATGGGCTCCCTCACTCGAAACGGCACCATCACATACACCAGGAGCACGAGCAAGGCCAGCAGCAGCAGCCTTCCTCACGCCGCCGCCCCGCAGACGAGGAGATTCCACGCCTGTCGCTGGGCGAGCCGGAGGAGGAATTCCCCGAGCACGAGCCTGGCCAAGAGTATGGGACGTCGCCGTCTCGTCCCCGGGCAGTCCATGTTGACAGCCACGGCAGCGGTCACGACACGGACGGCGAGGAGTATTTGGTGGGACTAAGCGCTGAGGAACGCGAGAAGCACAGGAAGTTTGAGGAGATGCGCAAGAAACACTACGAGATGAGGGATGTCGCCGCGCTGTTGGGGCATTCGGAGGAACTGGACGAGGATGGCGATGACGATAGTGAGAATGACGATGAACGGGCAAAGGTTCCCCCTGTCCCGCCCCTGCCTGGAAGGGTGAATGGGTCGTCATGATAAAGGGGTCTGAAGGAGCGGAAGGGGCTGGATGATGGGAGTCAGAAATCCATGTTCATTGAGCTGCCGCAGATTGTTGGGGGCTATCTATAATCACTGCTCAGTCTTGCTCTAAAGAAGGATATCTCCCCTTTTCTCTACTCCTCCTGTGTTTCACTTTTGGCAAGCTTTTTATTTAGCGTGTATTTTCTTCGGTGCCGTCCTTATTGCCTTTCGAGGTCTCGTTTTCGGCCGGGGTAGGCAGTGTCTCAAAGCCGTGTGTCTCTATGTATCGTCGTGTGAGCATGGCCCCGGTATTATATCCAGCCCAGTTTTCTCCGACTTCGTACGGTTTTGGGCGCTAGCTGGTAGGGGTTTCGTGGCGTGTCCAGTGTGTAAGCGGGTATATGATGATGGTGTTGCAGCAGTGGCCTCTCATAACAGCCCCTTGCGTGCAAGCTCGACCTTCCTCGCCGCCTCGCCGGCCTTAAACCCTCCCCGAGAAACACATATCCGCTGCCCTTCGGCGAGCTCAAACTTATCCTCATGCGACGGCCATTGGCATGGGCAGTGGTGGGGGAAGTGCACACATGCTGTTACAAAAAGTCATTAGCCAGTGAACCAGAGGCCTCGACCCCTTTCTTTCTTCCCGAAGACCCACCTAGCGTATCCGGGCAGAGGTAGTTGTCGCAATGGGCGTGGGCATATTGAGAGCGGTAGTGCGCGGAGTCGCTCGGCGCGTTTTGGGGCTGGTGATGTTGCTGTCCTCCGCCGCCAAACATTTGGTCGAAGAAGCCACCAAATTGCGCCGAGACGAGACTCGCCCACGCGAGAAGAACAAAGCCAGCGAGATGCATGTTCGATTCCGTATCGAGGGCGGCGATCGATTGGTGTGTCAAACGTTGTGGAGGTTAACCTAGAAAGGGGCGGTTCCAAGTGAAAGAATCATGCGCCTTGGATTCATTGTCGCATTGTTCGATGTTGACTTGCTGGCCAGATCCCAAGCCCAAATGCCAAGGGGAGCATGTGGGGGCCAAGGCTCAGTGCTGCAGCGTATCTTATCAGACCCTAGCTGAGTCAGCAGAAAACTTGCGGGCAACAACCGCAGCATCGTCGGCTCTGGTCCCGGGGTTTTGCTCCCGAGTTCGTCAATTTGACCCTCCACTCTCCCACCTCCCAGCCCCCGCTCCGGCGCTCCATTGCGCCCAAGTGCGTTTGCGAGCCGGTCCAATGCATCTCGTACGGCTGCAGCGGCCCCTCCAAAGGGCTGCTGCCAGCAGCGCTCGACCCCTCGGCACCGTCCTCCGGCCGACGACGACAGGGACAACATCGACAACGACAGCGACGATTCTCGAGGAGCGGTTCGCCCACCTCCGAATTTCCTCCCCAAATGCTGCTGGTTCCGCGGTGGAGGGCCGCCGTTATGCCTCCGTGAAGGCGCAGGGTGCCTACAAGATCAAGTCGAAGAAGACGATACCAAAGAAAATGGGTGCCAAGAAGACCGGAGGTAGGTTCGGGCCTCGCTACCATTGTGCCGTTGTTGATCCGTCGGATGGCTATGTGTTCCAAAATTACATTGCTGAACCTAGATGTTTCCGACTTTAGACCAATATGTTATCCCCGGTAACATCATCTACAAGCAGCGGGGTACCATATGGCATCCCGGTGAGAACACCATCCTCGGCCGCAACCACACGATCCACGCTGCCGTCACCGGCTACGTCAAGTACTACCGAGACCCAAAACGACACCCAAAGCGCCAGTATATTGGGGTTGTGTTCAACCGCGACGACACATTGCCTTATCCCGAAGACTCGCCTCGCCGGCGAAAGCTGAACCTCGTTGCAGTAACTCGGAAAGCTGAACCCGCGCCCGACGAGACAACGGCCCCTAGCGGCATCCCGCGTTCCGTCACACGGCACGAAATTGTCGAGAAGCCTGACGAGTCGAAGACATCCAAAACCGCCCAGCCGCACACCCCAGTTCGTTACGTGGAATCAGTGCCTTTGAAAGACGGCAACTCGGTGGTAGCCAGTTTGGTCAACCAGAAGCTTCGGGCTAGGGAATTGGACCAAGTCAGGAAGGAGGCTTTGAACCGAGAACAAGAGAAGGCGCTTGCGGAGCGCAAGGCCACTCGTGTGTTCCATTTACAGGACGACTACAGCTACCGCGAGAGCAACTGGGAGATTGGTCGCATCGTCGGCGACGCCGGGATCATTCCGGGCACCGATAAGCCAGAGTCGAGGAAGGCCAAGATTCGCATGCGCAGGTGGAAACGCGACATTCACTTCCGCGGTATCAAGCTACGCAAAATCGACAGATCCAAGCGCCGTAGCGACTACAAGACCCGGGCCCACCAGAAGAGGTTGGCACGGCAAGTTACTGAGAAGGCGGCCGCCAGGGAGGCCGCGGCTGCCGCGAAGGCTGCTTTCGAGAAGGCGGATTCTGAAGCCCGGGCCGCTGCGGCGGCACGAGCCGCGAACGCGGCCGGCGGCAGCAAGCCTGTCGCGAGCTAAAGAGGATTGTTGGCCGGGTTGGGCTACCTATTTGTCACGAATGCGCCGCTGTTGCGGATGGCCGGTTGATGTGCTGCGTGACGTTGATTTGATGTAGCACGGGCCGAAATGCTGTACATTATCTTTGTCTCAAATAAATGCTTGATGTGTCTGGCAATGCTCTGGGTACCTAGGTCTGTACATGCAGTCTGCCGCCGGTTTGTTTACTCGCCTCGTTCGAAAACGCCTTGGTCTGCTTTTTGCCACTCCTGGTCTAAAACAATTCCTTTCCCGCTTTTCTCCCTTCTTCTTCTCACCAATTCAACTAGGGATAGCATTCATTAATCTGGACCTACTGCGTACATAGCCTCGTGCCAACAGCAAACCTCCGACCATGTGTTATCCTTGATTGTTTGCGTTCTCCCTGGCGCGGCGCCAGGCTCTGGAATGCGGTGGCGCAGCGATAGTCTATTAGCAGATGACGATGACCACAACCATTTCATTGTATTCAGTAGTATTACCTCGGAACCTCCAGGACCCTCTCCGGGACACTTAATCGCGCTTGGAACACAACCTTATCTGTCATGATATCAGGACCGGCTTTCGAAATGAAAGAGGAATTCAGAACAAAGGACCCCAACTTGGGCCCTGACGAAGGGGTGTTTGATTCCAAAGGTCGTTTCCAGTCTCCGTCCAACATTTCAACCAGATCAGCCGAGAAACGCAGTACAGATCCAAGATTGGAAGATAGCCCCCTACCCAAACGACAGTGCTCCATCCAAAGACAAAGGAACAGGGAAACTAGCTCCTCGTTTTCTCTTGTCCCCAACATCCAGCCGAGCTATGACATCAGGATATCGCCAACACCACCCCCATTGGAACAGCGCGAGTTAACAGCCAGGCGAGGCCACTTCTTCTGGGGACTCGCTTCACCGGCCCCGGAACCTGTGCCTTTGAATGAGAGAGAGAGCGCGGCAAGGGCTTTAGCGGGAGGTCCTAGGGGCCTCCATCATGGTTCAGCTGACATTAGGGCTAGGGGGGTTCCAAACACAGCAGCACCGTCCTCCTCTCAACAGCCAAACAATATTCACCTTGACCGCAACAGCGAGGGAGCTCCGATACTCATGTGCGGGAAGCGGCCGTACTCCGAGTGGATTAGATACTGGGGTAAGTAGGCTGTACAGGCCTTCTTTGGTCAATTTAGACCTCAAATATCCTCCTTCTCACACTGCTCGTCAGAGAACACACTTCATAGAGTACTTGGAGCCGGAACACTGTTTCCGGAAGGGTATAGTCCACGAGTAGGGCAACAGCATCCTTGGATCTGCCCTCTCCGGGACTGTCAGACGTTATTTTCTCAGGTTTGGGCGCTTGGGGGGCATTTCAGTATCAGTTAGAATTTCTTCTCAAGCTTGACCTTGATTTTATACCCCGTACAGGGGCTGACTGTACACCGTCTAGGCCGCCCATCGAGCTTGCCTCCTGAACGACAATCTCGATGGCACGATGTCCGTAGTGGGACAGCGCAAAACCCCGGACTGCAGCTCTGGGCGTATGCCTCCGTTGGTGGTGTCAAGGGTGCCACTCAACGCAGCCACCGCTCCACCGCTAGCGGTCCCCAAACAACCAGGGCGTAAGAGGAAGCAGAAACACCATGAACAGAATGCTACCAACCATGAGCGGCCCGAGGGGCTACAGTCGACAACCCCTTCTTCCATCCTCGGAGCTCCCAACTTCAACACAGTTCCCTGGAACCGACCTGCTGTCGAAGACCTCAACAGCAAAGGTAAAAGAGAGGGAACCCATTTTGAGCGAATGCCTACGCCAGTCAGCGTGGATATCCCATCGGAAGAAGCGGTGGTGAAGGTCCTACCAACAACCGAACATACCCAGACCCATTGTAGCTCCCGCTTTGCATTATCGCCAAGCGCAACTGATACTGAGACCTCGTACAAGAGTTCAGTTGAGGAGAACATCGATGTTCGGCCTCTCACGATGGGTGACACAGACAAGGGTGATAATGGTGACGAAACGAAAGAAGATAATGACGGTGATGACGGCAACGTTGAGTCGAGTGTCAGCAACCACGAGAGCGACGATGAAGAAAAACTGCTCGAAAAGGAGGGCATGACAAACCATGTTGAACATCAGCGAAGAATGCAGGCACAACAGGACCGAAACACAGATAATAATATCAAAACAACGACGGATGAGAGTGGCAACGGGTTAAGACGATCTCGTCGACTACTCAATCACCGGCAGCAACCGCCACCTCAACCAGAGACGAAACATAATTCCGCGCCCGTAACGTCCGTCCAAGTCCATAACGTGGGCTCAAAAGGGCCGAGGCCCAAAAAGGCAACCGATCAAGAGCCCCCCCAGCCTGAACTGGGCCCCGTTGGCAGATCTCCAATGACCATGGCCGACTGGGAGATTGCACCAGGTATACTCCATAGGGGCAGTGGGAGAGATACCGAGAGTAAGTCTCTCACTCATCTTGACATACTCGATGTTGTTCCTATTGTTGAACCCCCAACCCCATCCCCCTGCTTAACCCCAAAAAGCACCCCAACATATTCCAACTAACTGAATACAGACATTGCCTTCTCCTCCTCCTATCTCGCCCAGGCCCACACCGTCGCCGTCGCAGACGGCACCACCTTCCAGGTCGTCCGCATATCGCCGGGGACAACACTGCGGTGGGCGGCCGACGAGAACATGGTCCGCCTGTGTTCGGTAGCAAGAGGCGTCGTGCGTGTTTCGCTATGTTTTCCCCAAGCCGTCGACTCCCCGCGGGCATCGGATATCAAGGAGTTTTCCATTGGGCCAGATGGGATGTGGAAAGTGACATGGGGAGCCGGGTGTACATTGGTAAATCCGTTTTACGAAGGGGTTGTCCTCCACATCACTACTCTCGTCGAAGATAGGGTATGATGGCTAGTTTATGTTGTGGAGTGAAGCCGAGTTGGACAAATGACGAGGGTTCCAAGAACATGTGCATCATGCGATGGGTTCATATTCTTTCACAACAAACAAAAGTCCTAAAAGTAGGCAAAAGGGGAGGAAGTCAGTGGTCTATTGTTGTGCTAAGGCGATGGATATTATCCACCGCGCTTGGGTATCGATGTTCCTGCGCCAAATTCCAATGTCCCATGCTCAGTCCCAACCCATTGCGCCCACTCCAACCAAACACCGTCGAATGCAAGCCTACAAAAAATTCATGTGCCGTTAACGAAACAACCTCCGTCCCCCTGTTCGCGTGGGAAACCTTTCCACACCACCCTGCTGTTGCTGGTGATAGACCCATTGCATTCCCACGCCACCCCCTTCAAACCCCTTCCGGTATCGCCGAACAGCCTCACGGAGGTGCTCAGGTCGGAGCGGCCCGCGTCGGTCGTTAACTTCGGAATTTCTGGTGTCCCTAGTATCCTTCGTCTCCGCAGCATCCGTCGTCGTTGCTTCGGCAGGCTGGGTATCGGCCTCTCCGCTCACATCAGGTGTTGGGGCAATCGTGGGCAGCGGCGAGGGAAGATCGGTCTGCTTCTCGTCGAGTTTCTCAATCCACTCGCCCTGCACGCGCCGGGCGCTCTCAATGACATCTCCGATAAAAACCTTTGCCACTGCGCGCATTCCTATTACGACGTTTTCAGCAACGGATTGGGAGATGGTGGCATTGACAAGCTATCCAGGAACGGAACAAAAGGGTGGTTAGCTGAGGGGTCCGCGCAGTAGGCCCAGTTGCCCGTAGAAGACAAAGGAAAATAAAAAGAAGAGAGCATTTACCCTTCTAACTGAAGCCTTGCTCAAGTTGGCGGCGCGCCAATTCTCAAACCGATAGAACTGATCCTCCGATAGTGCCGAGATCAGCATGCCCCTCATGCGATGTTCCTCCTCCTTTTGTTCCTTGGTTCGCACGTCGGCCGTCGCAGCGACCTCTGTAGGACCCTCGTCCTCGCCTTCGCCCTCATCTCCCCCGCCCGCGCCGCCCGTGGTGCTCTTGCCCCCACCGCCGCGGCCGCCGCCGGCTTCACTAGCGCCGCTGGCGGCTGTGGCTGCTCGGCCCCCAGCGATAGACGGTGTTTGCTCGCGCGCCTTGTCGGCCTTGGACTTGCGACCGCGCTTCTTCTTAAGAGGCGCCGCCGCGCTGACCTGGCTGCCACTGACAAGGCTCATGTTATCGACATCGACGGAGGGTGAACGAGCGCTGCCAATCAAGGTGGACGAGTCGTCAGGGGGAAACGAGGTCTGGCGAAGCGGGTGGGCGGATCCCGGCGCGCCCGACGCGGTTGAAATGGTCGAGGCTTTACGGCGTTTGAGGGCGGGAGCCGCAACGCCGTCGGCGGTGCGTTTTTTGTTGGTGCTGGACATGCTGTTGATCCCTGAGAGCTGCGTGTGGGATGAAGGAGGCGAAGAGTGTGTTGATGGGGGGGCCATCTCGGTTTGCCGTCCTCCGGGCTGTTTTGCACGAGGGAGGATGGGGCAACCGGACAGTGGATTGTGGCAGAAAGCTAGGCGGTGTTAACGCGAAGGGAAGAATGGGCCCGAGCTTGCATTTTAATGCAGGGGTGGGAAGACGTGAAACTTTAAAGTAACGATTGTCAAAGTCGGAACACAGGCAGCCCTAGCTGTAGTTACATAAAAGAAAAGAAAGAATTGTTCTCAGAAGTTCCGTGATGATAATGGCCAAAAATTAGCCTGATGTTATTGTGTTGGTATCATGTTATTGTTCAACCCTTCCAAAAAGCGTTACACTAAATCGGTACTTTAACCAGTGGTCCGATCGACCTAGCAGGAACAACACGCCGCTGGAAACCGTGGGACCCACCACACTGCGTGCCATGATTTCGCGGGTCCCAACAAGCCTGCTGCACGACGAATACAAAGCCAGCAATGCCAATTGCCAATCAGGACCCTAGGTTGGACAGCCCAAGAGGGACAATGATGGCCGAAATGACGAAGATACTTTGCCGTCCTCTGTCGGCGAATTTCTCCTTTTCCCGAGGCAAACCCCCGAGTGAGGCGAGTCAGACAGACGGCTACTTCGTACTTCGTACAAATATTCCTTACATGAATCAATTGGGACCGAGGAAAAACTCTCGTCTCTATTTTAGACTCGGACATCGTCACAATAAGTTGTCTGGGATAACATAAGAATTAACCAAGTTCGTCAATCCCTGGGTCAGTTCTCCCCCTGTGTCCCTTGTGTCCGATTTGACTGCGTGGACGGTGCAAACCACTCGGTGAACGGTGCAAATCTGAATACGGCTAGAGGTAAGTAGACCGCCTCCACACCTGCTCTTGGTTGGTAAACTTCAATGATCGAGGTTCCTCTTACCCTGGTCACCGGTGTGCTTACCATACATACAGTGTACCAAAACCAGAGGTGGCCATTGTAACTAATGGTAGATACAAATCGCTTCAAATGCAAGCGTGGGTGTGGCTTAGAGTTTTCGGTAGTGATGTGTTGGTTTTGGTATTGAGTGAGCAGCTGAGGTGTGGAGGCGGTATACTTGCCTCTAGCCGTATTCGAATTTGCAGCCTTTTTCGGGATCAGGGGACCGAAAATTTCCAGAGAGAGCGGGACCGGAGGCGCTGGCCCGATCCATCCTGGCTCTTCGGGTCTACACGTACATATGTAGGAGCTCCATTTGCCCAGATCTGTTCTTGAAAGTTGCGATCACCCACTTCCCAATCGTCCCCCGAGTGCATCCATTCTTGCATTTGCGGAGTCCTCGCGTTTGCGTCGTCGCGCAATTCTCAACCCTCGATCCCGTCTTGAGTACCCGCCATCGACCTCCAACGCCCCGCCCATCTTCAACATCGGTCAGCAGCATCGACCCCGGCCCCGCAGAATCACCCAGCACCCTCGCTAGATCCCGACCCCGACGCAATGGCAAGGTCCGACACCGCCTCCGGCTCGGAGAGCCCCGCGCCCACACCAGTGAACGGAGAGAGGAACGGAAGCAAGAAGAACAAAACCCGGAATGGCAGCAAGAAGCACGCCCGTGACAACGAGACCAATGGCTCCATTGGGCCCAGCCACCCTGGCGAGCGGCGGTCCAGCGTCAGCAAGCCCGCGCGGGACTTCCGGGACATGCCCGAGGCGCCGCCGCCGAAAAAGAAGAAGAGAAAGACCTCGACAACTACCACAAAACCCGATAATGCCCTCGTCATCCCCACCACAAAGGACACACTCCCCGCTCTTCAACCCGAAGAATCCACCGAACAAGTCTCGACCCGGTCGCCGAGCCCCGTCATTGACTTTGATGGACTGAGCCGGCCCAGTCTCGGCACACGGAAGCGGCTAGAGGAGGATGACGCGCAAAAAGAGATTCGCCTCAACCGCATCAAAGATGCTGTCCGAACCCTGCTCGAATGCGTCGGTGAGGACCCGGACCGCGAGGGCCTGTTAGCCACACCGGATCGTTACGCCAAGGCCATGCTCTACTTCACCAAGGGCTACCAAGAGAACGTGCGCGACATCGTCAATGGTGCCATCTTCCAGGAGGGCCATAACGAAATGGTCATCGTCAAGGACATTGAGGTCTTCAGCATGTGCGAACACCACTTGGTCCCTTTCACCGGCAAGATGCACATTGGCTACATCCCCTCGAACGCCGTCATCGGCATCTCCAAGCTGCCGCGCATTGCTGAGATGTTTGCGCGCCGCCTGCAGGTTCAGGAGCGCTTGACCAAGGAGGTCGCCAACGCCGTGATGGAAGTGCTTAAACCTCAGGGTGTCGCCGTCGTCATGGAGTCGAGCCATCTATGCATGGTCATGCGGGGCGTGCAAAAGACGACCAGCACCACCATCACCAGCTGTGTGATAGGCTGCTTTGAGCGCAAAGAAAAGACCCGTAACGAATTCCTCAGCTTGATCGGTGTCAACCGCTGAACACACATCCGATCATACAAAAGGGTTCAGATGCAACCAAGTGGCTGGTAGACCAAAGTGTAAGGAGGAAGCGGGAAAGAGGGAGCGAGGAGAAAAAGAAAAGATATAAAGAGACACGGACCCGGCATTGAGACATGATATGCGATTCAGGGGAATATTAATAGGGGCAATCCGCGACAAAGAGGATATTTTCAACAAAGGGCCGTCGTATCGGGACAAGCGCTGTTGATGTTGGTTTACATACACACACACACACACACATGGGCAGTCTGCATGGAGCCGGCGTTTCGGGATTTGCACTTTCAACCAGGGCGTAGGAAGCAGAGGGAACGGATTTATGTAGGCAGGGGGAAGACGACATATACAAGCACGCCTTGTCATGAACCGGGCGAGGATCTCAACATCGGCCGGGCGTCTGCTTGTCTTACTTCTCATGGGTTCTTCAACACGGCCAGCTATTTGGCTTTTGTTTTTCCTTCAGCTCTTGGTGACACACTGGTTATTGTTAACCTGATAGAGACATTAACAGTACATGTCAACAGACATAGCTACCTATCATACCCCAATCAAAGCATTATTCACGCGGCTTCAGCCGCCGCGGGAAAAAAAGAGGACTTTTCCTGCTCCCAAAGCCGGGACCTTGAACTCTACAAGGCATCGTACAGCCAATCTCTCCCGCCCATTTTCCCCCAATATCCATCCCGATCCGGAAATTGACAACCCGTCGCATATCCATTGGTACACAAACCAGAAGGAAAAGCTTGGCTGGCGGACAACCGTCACGATACTCTCCTCACAACCCGCCCAACTTCACCACGTTCAACAGTAGCAACCCTGGCTTTGACCACCTTCCACACCTCTTCTGCCACTTCCTCTACAGACGAGCTCGCATCCACCACATGGAGGTCCTCCTCCTCCTGTCTGAACCGATACTCGTGCCCCGTTAGCGCATCCTGGCCCGCCACTGTCGGTGGCCCTACCGCCACCTCTTTCCTCTCACTCGTCCCCTCCTCCCTCTTCGCAACACCACCACCAACTCCAGCTTCTCCGGGCACAACGACCGACGTAGTCCCAATTTTGCCCATACTTAACCCCCAAAACAACTCCCGCACGCGCCGCTGCATCTCTGCCTTCTCGTACGCCTCGCCGCCCCAGCCGCCGCGTGCTTTCGCTTGGTTTTCGTCTAGGTCTAGGAAGAGCACTAGGTCAGGGCGTGGCAGGCCGACTTCGGGCGCCCGCGCCCACGGAAGCGTGAGGGAGGGGTTTTGTTTGGCGGCGGAGTAGACGACACCGCTGTGGTAGTAGCGGTCGCAGAGGACGGTTGTGCCGGAGGCAAGGAGGGCGGCGATAGATTTACTGTTGTGATAAGGAAAAAGGGTTTCAATATGTGTCGGCCTGACTTGGTTTTGGGAGGGAGGAAGAGAAGAAGGAAGGGGAGGAAAAGGGGGTGAGAGCATACGCTGCTTCCCATCGGTTTGCGCTAAAGAGCAGATGAATGACGTGGTCGTCCATGTCGACCTGGCTCTTGAGATACGAATCGATCATCTGGCCAATTGGTGTTGTGCGGTCTTGATGGTTGTGGTGGTGTCAACCCAAATCGGGTTGATGATGCATGTCAGCTCATGTCCTTTCTCAACAAGTCATTTACCCTGTCCGTTCCACAGCCACCTCGGGTCAAATCAAACTTGCCGCGGCTGCTGTGTTTCTACGCAAATGTCTGAACTACGAGCCACATACCCGGAAACCGCATCACCTTGACCTTGCGGCCCAACTCCACAAACCGTTGCTCGAGCAGTTTGACTTGGGTCGTTTTGCCACTCCGGTCGAGGCCCTCGAGGACCACAAGGGCGCCCCGGACCACAGCAGCCGGAGCCTCACCGTCATCACCGTTGCCATCAGCCCCGTCCTGCGTGGTGGTCCGAGCCGAATCGGCTAACGACGACAACGAGGGCTGCGGGTGCGGGGCCGTGACCGCGGCAGCGGCAGCGGCAGTGGCAGCGGGACTGACGAGTGCCGAAGCGGCCGTTGCCAGATCGTTAATCGAGGCCATGGTTTGCTTGCTAGCTCGGTTGCGGCGAATCAAACCAGGGGTCGACTGAAACAAAAAGGGACGGAGACGGCCGAGAAGTGGGAGACACAGAAAGGAAAGAGAGAAAAATTAAGTGGCTGGGCCAATTGATGACCGTTTGAGAGGGACGGATGTGGTGGGTGAGTGCAGTTGCAGTTGAGCGCTGGTAACTGCAAGTTGTCGGTATCAGGTGTCACTGACGCTCCGCTTCCACCATTGCGGTGCTGCTTGGTGGTTCCCGTCTAATGATGGCTCGCGGGGCACACAGCCCGAGAGTTGAGGTCGCGCTCCACTAAGACGGGAACCCCAGCGCCAGCAACAGTGGAGCTTCCCGGGCAGGCCTTGGCGCGGCGTCCACGGAATTAGCGACTGCTCACAGCGGTTCCAGCAAAACTCTGGGGTGGAGAATAAAATGCCAGCTGTCGCTAGATGGAACGTCAAGGAAGAGCGCCCGACATGCTCGCCCACGCCAGACAGATTAGAGTCAAGACAGCAGGCCACGGAGACGCTGCAGCAAGTAGGCCCTAGCCCATTATACTTGCAGGAGATTCAGCTCCCATGGGGACCCGGACTGATCAATCGATCACCTGCTCGCTCACGGCGGCGTCTCCGCTTGCAGTTCTGCTGCGGGGTTTTCAACCGCATGGATAAGATACACACACTACCCGGCTGCTTAGGAAAGAGCATAGGGGAAAGGAGGGGCATTCCCACGCACCACGCACTTTCCAATCCCGGCGCTTTTGCAACAACCTTCCCCCCCCCCCCACCCAGCAGCCGTTAAAAAAAGAAAATGGTCCCAGATCGCTCCGAACGGCATTTGCCCCCCCCTGCGACTGCTTCTGCTGCTTGCTGCTGCTGCTGCTTGCTGACTGCCTGCTTAAAATGAGGCTCGCTTGGCAGTCCGACGGCTTGTTCGTTTGCCATCCGCTACGTCATTGTAAAAAAAAGAGAGCAAAGGGCAAAGAGCAAGAAAAGGCAGGCCTCAAGGACCTACTGTGGAACTAGAGCTAGGTTGAGGCCATCTTAAGAGCTCCGCTGCCCGAATATTCTGTCGACCTTCGGCCGACAAGAGGACCCAGCGAGCACCGAACTGGAGGGGGGAAATTCCATGCCCCATCCTAGCAGTGCTGCGCCGCTGGTCACTGTGAGCGAGGGAAGGGACAGTCGCATTTGCACCTCCTCACCTTGCCCAAAAGCAGAGAGTGGCCGAACGAACATCTTCGCCACGCACTCTCGCCAATGGCGTTTGATTCCCACGCACTTTGCTGCTGATCCGGCTCCGAGGGCCTGATATTCTGTTCTCACTGCTTTTTTCCCTTAATCTTCTACCTAAAATCAGCTCCGTCTTTTAGAAGGACGAGCAGGAAGCCTTTCCTTCGGCCTGGACAACCGGCCGAAGGTGGGAGGGGTGCTGCCGTGTCCCGTCCCTTTGACGTCTCAAGTTCGATCTTCGCCTTTGAGCAAGGAAAAGTGGAGCCACTTAACGCGACCCGGTCCCATGCCGCAAAGTGGGGATTAGCGCACGCGATGATTGGCGTAACCGGCACACCGCGTCGATGAGTGGGGCATGCGATCGCTCTGTAATTGGCTTCCTTCCTAGGCAGGCTTCGCCAATCGCCAGGCATTGTCACCGGGCTCTGATGCAAGCTCTCAAGAAATCGCAGACAATTACAAGCTCTCAGGGCACTCCGCCCTTGACCAGACCCCGCTCCGGACCCGATACGATCGCACTTGATTGGGGCTCGGCGGGAGACGGAAGGACCAGGAGAGGACAGGGCGGCACGCGTTAGGTTTTACCACGAAAGGGTACCGCAAGCAAGAAGCTGCAAATCGAGCGCTAGAGCAGCGCTGCGAAGCCCGCAAAAAGCCCAATCTTGACCCTGCATGAAGGGTGCGCCAATGCCCTGTCTGAGACCCGAACACATAGAGCGCCATTCATTTGCTGTTGCGGACAATCCCTCTACGGGTGTGCGCCTGAGCAGATTGTAGCATTTTGAAGCTTTTGCAGCTTTTCGCAAGCATCGGAAACGACTGCCGCACTTGAGATTTTCCCCTTTAAAATCCCCGGCCCGGCCCTCCTTGCCTCTGCTCCTTCCTTTCCCCCCCTGCTCTCTAACCGCTCCTTGCACTACCCGTTCGAAGCGCCTTCTCCCTCAAGCTCCAACTTAACGAGCCTTTGCCTTCCTCGCTTCCACTTGCTCTTTCCCCAATCCTCCTTCGTCTCTTCGCGCCCTCCCTCTTCCTTCCCGCTAGCACCGCCGTTTCATCTTCCCCCCCTTCTCAACCATACAATCTCCTCCTCCATCCCGCAAGAGTCTGCCTCTCTTTCTTACACTAGGAGAGACCTTGCTCCAGCCAGATCCCAACATCCCTACCTCAAGCGGATACCCTCAATCTGCTCTCCCTAGCAAACCGTCGAGTGGTTCCCCACTCTTGCTCGACTTCCTGGTTCTCAGCCCGGACTCCACCCGGAGCAAACGCGATTCTTGTCTGGCCCCTCGATCGGTCGCGTCAAGACGAGACCAACCGCTTTCGCAACCGGCCGTCTTAGCAGGCCACCGGTACCATAAGAGCTGCGCCCTCCCTCGTCCCAACCCGGAGCTCCACCCGCCGTCCGCCCTCCTCTCCCTTCAGCTTTTCGCCGGCCACTCGTTTCACAGACGGGCCGCCCGAAAAAAGAGGTGTCTAAAGCCGCCTCTTGCTGAGCGCCCGCAGAACGTACAACTTGGATAAACACACTCGCCGCGCGAGCAGTTGTTGTTCCTCCCTCCTCCATTGTAGAGGAGAATCACGCGCGTGTGGAATTCCATATTCAACAGCACCGCGTCCCTTTTTTTCTTTCGCCGCGCCGCGACGACTCCGCCGTTACCTCGATTACCTAACCATCCTCCACCATGGCTACCATCAGTCGCCAGCCGTTTGCTCCTGTCGACGGGGCACGGTTGAAGAGCCTTGCCAGTGTCAAGAACAGGCAAAATGGTATGTCGTGATACTTTTCCCCATCAACTATTTCACTGTTCAATCACCGGTTCATGACGGAGATCGCACGTACCGTGCGCTCGCCGATCTGCACCACCTCCCGTAGTTCCCGCTGCTGCTCAATTGCGAGACCATTTCCCTTTCCCCATCCCCCGTTCAACAGCATACCGGATTCGCTAACAATCCCAAGCCCTTGCCTCCTCGCCCATCAAGCGAAAAGCTTCCGAGGTCGACGATGTCGACAACTCCGAGAACATTGCCCCCATGCTCTTCTCGAAACGGTCCAAAGGCACCGATCTCTGGACTGACCTGGCCAAGAGCTTCACCAAGCCTTCTGCTTTCTCCCTCGTCAAGGCTACTCCCGTCTCTCCGGTAGCGAAGGATTTCTACAGCAACACCCCATCCAGCAGACTCACCGCTGCTCCCGTCGCACGAAATATCCTTCAGCCCAAATCTCCGGCCGCTCGTCTCAAGGCAAAGGCCCCGGCCCCGACGCCGTCGCCCCTAACAGCCCCGGCGGGCCGCTCACCGACTCGCGCCTCCAAACGCATGGGTATCCTCTCGCGGCGCCGCACCCAGCGTAACGAACCCCCACTGTTCCCGGCGGGCACTGGTGTCCCGTTCTCTCTCGACGCTGCTCTCAAGGGGACCATCCCCAGCTATTCGGGCAACCTCCGTGCCAGCAAGAACAAGACCAGAAGCCGCGCCACTACGTCGATTAGCAACGGCAGCCATGCCCCTCTCGATTTCTTCATCCCCACTCCAGACATGACCTCCTCGTTGTGCTTCGATATCCACGAGGACACTCCCGAGCAAGAAATGACCAACCTTCTTCAGCACGGAACTTGCACTCTCGATATTAGCAGCGACGAAGAGTCTGAAAGCCGCGCTAAGCGTGAACGCGCTGAGGGCCGGGATAAGGAGAACATCCCCCCGCCGGAGGACGTCAGCCAGACATCATCGGCACGCGGTTCTTCTTCTACCGTCGCCGATATCGATGAGGATGTGCTTTTGTTAAAAGGCCGTGGCCCGCTGGCTGAGATGAACGTTACCGACTTCTACGCCGAAGGCTGCGACAGCACGAGCGTGTTCATCGTGCCGGGTGACGAGGAGGACCCCGAGGCCGTGGTGGAGGGCGAAGGCAGCACAGCCGAACCGACCTCGGTGCAAGATTTGCCGCCTCTTCCCGCTGACGGGGACGAGGAGGAGCAATGGTTTGCTGAAGAGGGGATGACCGGGATGCCGCTGCCGCCACCGCCACAGCCGCAGGCCAGCCTCGAGGATGTCGACGACGTTGATGTGGACGACATCATGGCCAGCGGCCAGCAGTCACTAGAGGCTAGTTTGGGGCCTATTGAAAGTACTGCCGAGAGCTTCGAGCTGTGGGAGAGCCATAGTGCCAAGGACCAGGGGAGCACGCCGGCATCCCCTACGCCAATGGCCGAGGAAACGTTGTGAAATGGGAAGTTGACGATGTGATGAGAGATGCGCCCCAACCGGATTAAAATACGCCTTACATACGCCATATGTCTGATGGTTTTTCCTTTGTCTCGGAGGTCAACGAGTTTTTACCCTTTTTTTTTCTCTTCGGACTGTTTCTCTTTTCTATCAGGGCTCTTTTTCTCTATTTTCTTGGTAATGCCAATACCCCGCTTTACTTTTTTTCTGAAGAAGGGGTAGGTAAATAGGGAAAGGCGTTTGGGAGGCTTGGAACACTGTTTTCATGGCTTTAGCGGGACGGCATGGGGTAGGATATTCTGGGAATTCAGCTGGAACTGGCCGGGGTCGGTGGGCGGATTCAGGGACGGGCAATATGGCGTCCTCTTGTTCTTTCTGTGAAGCATTAGCGCGTCCACAATACTATATTCTTGCAAAGCAACGACACTGCCTTGAGTCGCTTAGGCGTGTCATTCTCCCCAGTAGGTGCTGATTTGATCCACGTTTAAAGTTATGCGAGTAATGTTTGTCTACCCCTTGCAGGAGTGCCCGGCGTCATCCTGGAGGCTCAATATGCGTGTTGATATGTAGGGTTTAGCTAACGTACAACCGATTCTCTCCCCTTCTTTTGACACACCCCCTCCCCCTTTGACCCCACCTTAATTCAACGACATTTCGTTATTTCAATTATTATTAATATTAAAACACTTTGATGCGCAATACTAATTAACCAATTACCGACAACCAGCCCCAATACAGCCCGTCAACAACCCAAAAGTGATGGGCATCGCCATACCGATGAACCACGCCCCAAAGGTGCCTGCGATCTGCCTGGCTGGGGTGATACTACACCGGCCACCAAAGCAGCCGCTGTCGTCCTTCGTGGTGGTGTTATTGCCATCACCCGGCCTCCCTTTGACTGAGTTATCGAGGTGCTTCTTCTCTTGTTGTTCATGTTTCTGCCGTAACACGTCTTCGTCATTGAAGGTAGCAGAGTTGCGTGGTGAGGTTTGAGGGGAAGTGGACCGTTGCTGGTGCTGTTGCTTTGTGGCTAATGGGCGTGGGGTACTTGGTCGTGACGATGGCGGCGAGGCTGAGGGCGTCATGGTCATGGGCGGGTGGATTGGTGGTGGGTGGGAGAGCAGTTCCATCTCTTCCTCTGTGAGGATGTGATACGCTGGGCGGGTTCGGTGGTGTTTTCCGTCCTGGGGTGGCTGGGGGTACGGGGTTGACTTCTCCTGGTGGTGGCCATATTGTTCCAGGTCGTGGTGGTGTTCGTGGTAGTGGTCGTGGTTTGGAGGTCCTGTTGATGGTACCGCTGCGGTCGGTATCAACTTGAACGGGTGGATATCTCCAGGAGCATGAGACCAGCCCAGCTCGGTAGGCCCATTCAAGATGATAGACGGTGGCCGACTTGAAGCGCGAGACTCCACCAAGATACTGCTCGGCGGCCGTGAGGGCTGCGAGAATGCTTCCTCGAAGATTTCGCGGTCGTGTTCACTCAGTGGCGTTTCCGGTTTCGACCCCGCGCGAGACCAAACCGGGGACGCTGGCATTCGTTCCCGGTCGTAGCTCCATCGGCCTTCAGACACGATTGGTGGCCTCCTGAGTGCGGCATGATGATGGTGATCGGGGAGGCTGATGGCGGAGATGGGCCGCGGGCGATGGCTGCGCAGGATGGGAGATTGAGGAGGTGAAGGGGAAGGACTGCGACTGGGTGGGAGGGATAATCGGCCGTCTGAGGATGTTTGAGCGACCGAGCGGGCGTGGGAGGTGTAACTCTCCATTTCTGGACGTCGTGGTGTCAACCCAGACACAATATGGCTGTGGATGACGATGTCTTGCTTGGTGTTGTTGCGCCCCCGCGAAGAGTCGGACACAAACTGGACAGGAGCTGGCGTTGCTGGCGGTTCTGGGTGGTCTCGGAACTCCATTGTCATGGAACGGCTTTTATTCGTTTTTTAATTCTTAAATCTGGCTTCAGAGTTTCGATCCGGGGTGAGAACCTCGTGAAATCCCTCCTTTTAATAAGTAATTATCCCGACTTCAACAAACGACTTCGCCACAAGCTTGAGCAGTTCGAGAATGGAGCTCCACCCAAGCATCCAGTTTGTTTCTAGCTTGCGCAAACAGCTCCATAAAATAGTTTTGAATTTTTGGGGACCAGGGCGTTCTAGACTGGCTCGTGGCCAAGCCGAGGTTTGGCAGCGTCGCAGCGCCTATCGTCGGCTGCTGCGGCGGTTCCGGTTGCTCGGATTCGCCACGGGAGTAACAAGGTAATGCCACTATTTTTCGAACACAATAGAATCATGGAAGGTTCAAGATTCTAAAAACAAGATTCACTCGTCACGCTTTGCAACCAGCATTGCTAGCATATTTTTTCTTAAAGCTATCAAAACTGCAGTACTTCGTAATGTGGGTATAATAAGTAAATATCTGCTTTCAAGTTGAAACTATTATTAGTCTTCTCTTACGCCCGGCGTCCCATCATCAGCTCATGGCAATGTATCCGGCCATATTAATAAATGTATCAACCCCCATCTTTCCATCTCAGCACCTGTCGGTACCTCTATACCGACTCAACCTTAACCTCCAACATTACGTCCAGTTCAAATCAAATTCAGCCCCCGTCCCCCGTTCAACGTCTCCCTTGACCCACGCGATCTTTTATTAGTCCGCCCCTCCTCGGCTTGGATCAACTCCCTGAGAATAGCCAGCCCTTCCGCCCGATCAGTTGGCTTGGCGATATCCAGACCCCACGCTCGCAAAAACGGCGCTTCGCCTCGGTAGTTGACGTGCAGCCAGATCCGCTCTTGGCGGGTAATCTGTCGTCCTGGCCCTGGGCTTGAACCGGAGCCTGAACCGGGACACGGGGCCGAGCCCATGGGGCGGGCGTCTGCCGGTAGTGACCCAGCGACCGGCACCGCGTGCCTATCTTTTGGTAGAGCCTCCTTCTCCCCGGCCGCGGAAGGTTCTCTCTGCGCCGGCGGCGGTGACGATGATGAGAATGATGCGTCGGGCTCGCCATCGCTCTTCTGTGTGGGCCCGTCCATGCCCCTCTTCTCCAGATGCACCTTGGCAGCACCGCCAGCGCTGCTGTCAGGCGTGGGAGGAGGCGAGTCGAAGCGGATGGTAGGGATGACTACTCCGTTGAACTTTTGCTCAAGTGGTGGTGAGCGTCCCCCGCGGTGGGTAGGCGACGACGCTGCTGCAGCTGCCGATGCGGGATTCTCAAACCCAAACTCCACCGAGATCGCCTCCGTGACTGTGTCTAGTTTCAACCGGGGTGGGTGGTCCTGATGTTGGGCCGGGCCCGGAAGCGTAGGAAGGGGCTTCCACTTTGAATTCTGCCGCGTTAGGGGTTTGGATGCCGCCGGTTCTGCTGCCGCTGGGCTAGGCTTGGGCTTGGGTGGCGTTGGGAGCTCGTCAGGACTCGGGCGTCCCTCTGACGAAGGCACGCGGAGCGGTGCTGGTCGTAGATCAGAGTGCGACTCGGCACGTCTATGCCCGCTATTAGGTGGCGTCTCGGGAGACCGAGAAAGGTTGGGCATGGGAGGCGGCGTGGAGGCTTTCCTGCTGCCTTCGGGTGACTCGGTGTAAAAGTCAAGCCATTGCGTTGCTCGGCTTTCGATCGAACTGGCTCGGCTCCTCAACGTCCGTTTAGGGGCCGGCGCGAGAAGGGTCGTGTTGTTGGCGGGTCCTTGGGCCCGTACCACGTCTAGTCGTCCGCCTCCCAGGTGTCTAATCTTGGGTTTCGGGGGCTCTGAGGCAGTTGACTTTGTTGCCGCCATGGTCCTGGAAGAGGGTCACAATTAGACCATCGTCAATGTTGATTTCCTGGCGATCTCGCTCACTCAGAGAAACAACAACGTTGAAATTCCACTCACCCGCTAGTGTTCGACCTCTTTACCCATTCGCGAACCCGGGAGCTCGGCTTGCGGCCGATCGGTGTCTTCAAAGACGCAGACCTCCCCGTCAAACCATCCATGGCTGTAGACACCACCACATCGGCCGTCCACGGGTTCGGCTTCACGACCGAGAAAAGTGCAGACTCAGAGAGCACCCCATGCTTATGTGATTTCTTGTCCTGATTTTCCTTGATCGTCTCCATTTTCGGTCAGCCAATGTTGGCCAATCTTGTTTGAAGGTTTGATGGTGCTGGGCGCGTGTGATAGATTTCGGTTTGTTTGCTGAGAGTAAGAGCCAAGATCATCAACCTCTGGCTTTGTCCTCGGTTCGCGTTTGGCGTTCCGCCTCGTGTCTCGTTGGTCGAGTATTAAGATCTCCAGTGTCATGCATACTCCGCAAGGAACACCTTGGGAGAAGGAGGGGAAATCGGGAGAGTATGCAAACTATATTGCGGTAGCTATCCGCCCTTTCTCTGTCATCGCGCATCCGAGTCTCGTTTCGTCCCTCTGCTCACTCGCTTCGCCTTTAAACCCGACCAGGTCGTGGTCTCAGCCAACTTTTTTTCACGGCCAGTCAACACCCCAGGAACACTACGTGGGGGGGTTCCATTGCTCTCCCACTTTCCTCCGTCCCCCAGCGCCAGTCATTCGGCTGGTAGACCGGAATCCCGTTGCAGAACGCGCTCTCGAACATCGTGTTACAGAAAAAAGGTGAAAGCGCTTGTCTTGGCTGGATCATTGGTTGTCGTTGTCAGTCGCGAAACCTGAAACGTTCAACTTTCAAGAATCGAAAATGGCAGCCAATGAAACATCAACCCACTTCCGTTCGGGGATGGGTTGATCGCCACTTTTCCCACTCAGCGGGTCCTGAAACGAACAAGAGGGCATCAAAAACGAAAGCCAGAGCCCAAAACAAATTTTCCTCCAACGAAGAATAGAAGGTTGATGGATTAGAGGCTCGCTACAAGGCCCCGCGGTTCGTTCAAAATCGACATTGACATGTGATACTATGTTGGGTAATTAGATAAAAATAGCACAACCATCCCAGACATTCCGGGACATAATTAGATTTTTAATTATCATGAGCAACGCGGCAAGGTGTTGCATTGAGTATTCAACTACTGAAATCTCAAAACTATAAGAACATCATCAAGGTGTCGGATTTCGGTCACTCCAATTTCATGGTTCAGAAACGCGCGAGTCCCAAGCCAAAAAAGCCACCCTTGTCATTTCAACTTATCAGAGTACTACTACCTATTCGCCCAGTGCCCACTACCATCATGTGTAATAATAATCAATCTTAGCCCAATCTCGGGAATGATGCCGTCGTGACCGTGTTCCCATGCTTCCGGGCCCAGGGTCTCGCCTTCGACGACGACGACCTGCCCAAGTTCCAGTCCTCGCTCCAGTCCCGAACAACAACCAGTTTACCCTGCCAGTTCCGAATGTATCCCTTGCTCCAAACCCAATACCCAAAGATGTTGCTCAGCTGTTGGCCCACGAGGCCGCGAAGCCCCTGCCAGACCACGGCCCAGAAGAAGAAGATCTGAAACACCAGACAGCCCAGCAATGCCCAATCTAATGCCGTGCCGTCGCAACCCGATGCCAATGCCAATGGTGATAGTGGTGATGATGATGATGAACAATCAGATGATGAAGAAGTGAGTGCGATAAATGCGAGCCCCATGGCAAGGCCAGCAAGGAGCGATGTCGAAGAACAAGTTGAATCCGGAGGAGCCGTAGAAGAAAGAGAAGAAGTCGTAGAAGAAGAAAAATCGTTACGTGAGTGAACAAAGGAAAGTGTACAGGGTTCGTGCATAATGTGCGAGCCGTGTGTTGTTGTGGTTGTTGTCGCTGCCGTTGTTGTGGTCGTTGCTCTCGTTGCTGCGGCTGTTGCTGTTGTCGCTGTTGTTGCTGTTGCCTTTCTGGCCAGGGTGAGACCGCTGGGAGCTGTGGTGCTGGTACTTCCCGTGGTATTCTTGACGCTGCCCCTAGCGCCGCCCGCCGGTGCCAACACACTGATACGAGACACCGCAGACGTTGGCTTAGCGAGTCACATGCCCCGGCCAAAGAGGACGGGGTAGCGGAGGCTAAGAAAGCGCTTCTTCCAGCTCTTGTGCCTTACTTGAGCGCTGCAGGGCTGGAGCCCATCCGCACCGGCATCAACCCGTGCCTCTTCTTGCTGTTCGGCCCCACGCTCTGCGTCGAGAAGAGCCTCGGGTGTGACGGCCTTAGCAGCACGCCCAGCGGCGTGGACGGCCGAGTCGGTATTCGCACGCTGAATCGTGAGCTTCCCAGCGGGCTGCGATCCCGACTCGACGCCGGGCTCAGCTTCCGAGGAGTCAGCGCCCCCAGTGGGCTCAGCATCGTCAACCGGCCGGACCGCCTTCGACGATTCCGCCTCGGGCTCGGGCTCCGGCTTCGCCCCTGTTTCCAGCTCCAGGAGCTCCGTTTGGATCTGTCGACAGTTAGCATGGACTCATGTTCTAAACTACTTAGAACCGGCTCTACCTTCTCTGGCTCCGGCTGTGCCTCGTCTTCCTTGCTCTGGGCCACCACTTCGGCCACTTCCTTTTGGATGGGGGCAATATCGACAAGATCCTTGGCGGCTCCATCGACCGCGGGGACGGGAGGGTTCTTGAGCTCCGAATGAGCCCCAGCGGAGGCGGTGCTGGATTCCGCTGTCGGCAGCGCCTCGAGAGCCGTCTCGTTGGCCGGAACCTCTTCCTCGGCTTCGTCCTCGCGGCCGGTCTTGCCTTCCGCATCAGAGTCGGCAAAGTCGCGAGTGTCGGTACCGCGAACCTCCTTCGGGCCGGCGGTCGACCTCACCTCATGGACGGCCTCGGAGGTCGGCTCAGGGACGGGCTCGAGCTCGACGAACGAGGGCGCTGTCTCCTTGGCGGATTCAACGTCCGCGCCTTCCCAAAACCCTGAATCGGCTTCACGGAACACGGGCAATCGGACAGGGAGCTGGGGCTTGGACCCAGTCTCGAGCTCAGTCGCCGGCTCAAAAGCAGACTCAACTTCCTTGGCATTAGGCTCAAGCTCGATTCCCTTACCAGAGTCCTTGCGTTCCCGCAGAGCAGCCGGGGTGGAGTCGGCAACGGCCGCTTCCTGCTTGCCTTTCTCCTCCTCTTCCTCCTCCTCTTCCCCATCGTCCTCCTCATCGTCGTCCTCCTCTTCATCCTCTTCCTCTCCCAGTTCGAATGCGGGCTCCGCACCAGTCACGACCTCAAGCTCCGCAGGAGTCTCGGCGTGGACTCCAACGGGAACTTCGACAGACGGTCGGATGTACTCATCAACTTGCGCCCCAGCGTCAGCCTCATCCTCCGACTCGACACCGGCGTTGACAGGCTCCGCCACATCCTTGGCCTCCGGCTCGGGGACATGCTCGGAAGCGATGTCAGCCACGGCGATACCGGCGGAAGTAGACAGACCCCGGGCGGGGGCTAGATCGGCGATGACAGGGCCGAGGTCCGGGAATGGCGCCACCGCTGGGGCTGGCTCTGGTACCGGCTTGGCCTCGAAGGTCGGCGGAGCGATCTCCGAATGAACTGGTTCAGGCGACGCCTGCGGGGTCGACCTCGAAGATTTCCGAGATGTGTAGTCCTCCCGGACAATGGACCTCGACCTCATCTCAAGCAGCGACAGGGGCGACGTCGAAGGCAGCGGGGTGACGGGCCGGGAAGTGGCCGGGCTCGTCACAGGGCTTGCGAGGGCGCTCATGGGGAAAGAAGCCCCACCCTCGGGCGAGGAGGCACTTCTCTCGCAGAAGAGCTCAAGAACCGTCCTGAGAAGGACTCGGTGGGGAGAGAGGATGTCGCTGATCTGGTCCAACAGGCTGGACCCAATCAGCGCCTTGGGGTCCTTGAGATGCGGGCGGATGCGGGACCGAAGGTAGTTGAGGAACCACGCATCCCCCTCGGTCAAGGTCGGGTAGGCATCCCGGGCCACTTCAAGCAACACTGGAAGCGGAAGGCCCTTGCTGAACCTGTCGATCTTGCCCTCAGCGAGGCGCATCAGGCCCGGGAGCTCGTACGCCCTCGCAGCGGCATAGGTCTGGACAGCCGTCCTGAGCTCGGCAATCTGTCGCGACCTCGCGTCGCCAAGCTTCGGCTTGAGCGACTCGTAATGGCCGGTGTGGAGGAAGTGAACGAGCACATGGCCAACATCATGGGGGATGGTGGAGAGCTCGGGCTGCCCGGCCTCATAGGCGGCGTAAAGCTTGGGGCTCTTCTTGAGGATGTCTAGCGGCACCGTGAGGGGGCTCGCGAAGGGGACAGTACAAGACGGGCTTCCGTAGGGACTAGTACGAGAAACAAAACACGAGCGGTTAGCGGATAATTAATTTTCAAGAGATTAGGGATTCTTTGAAAAAATTTCATGTATCTCAAGGTTCCAATGTTTGAATAGGATAGCAAAGCACTCACGAATTCTCCGGCCGGCCGTCGACCCTCACTGTGGGAGCACTCGCGGCCGCCTTTGCCTGGTCTTTGGCTTCGGGACCTCTTGGTGTCGTCACCGCCTTGGATGATGTTGTGGCGGTGGGTGTGGCAGTCGGGCCAGCCGACTGGGGGACTGGTGTGCCCGGGGCACTCTGCGTGCCCTGAGGCTTGGGAGTGCCGCTCCTCCTTTTCCGTGCCATGATCATTGAGTGATAGAGGAATGAAAGGACAGTGAGAAAGGTGAGTCCGATGAGGGTGACGGTTTCGACCGAGATGTGGACGTTGAGACTGCACGGGTATTTCATTGCGGTTTGGGTCCAGCCATCTCTCCGACCGGGCTCCATCGAGTTTGAGACAGAGGGGTATATTTCTACCCCTCGGTCAGACTAGCCTCTCGGCGCATGCATATGATCTGTGACTGTGCCGGTGGTGAGCTGGCATGCCCTGCCAGTTTGCTGCGAGTCCTGCCATCCCCGGGCTGGCCGTTCTGCGAGCGCGGCCTGCATCTTTGCTTGCTGGGGCCCGCGTGGCCCCATTCGCTCTGGGTTGGGCCTCAAGACCGCCCTGAATGGCTCGTCCCGCCAAGCCCAACCGCTACTGGCGTTTCGCGGGCTGTGTGAGCCCAGGGCCGGGCCCAGCAAGCACCTTGAAAACAAGGAGGCATTGCGTCGCCAGTTGCACGGTAGTGAGCTGTCAAGGGGCTGGTATCTCTCCAAGGCGATGAGCGGCGGCATTGTTGACGAACGGCATCCATGTCGACAGTGAACGGATTGGGTTCTCATGAATGCTCAGACGGGTCCAGTTCCGGGGCCGGGGCCGGGGTCGGCTGGGAACTGCGCAGGGGAGCGACCTTTCCTCGGTACCAATCTACCAGGGCATAAAACTAATAACTGGAACCACACCCGGCCTCCGCTAAGTTCGTCTTCCACCTGGGGCCTGGGCATTTCCCGGAGTCCGGAGGCAATTCTCTGCTGCTGAGATCTCCAACCTCGCTGATTGATCGAAACCCCGAATCTGATTTTTTTTTTTTCTGAAAATGCATACGCGACTGTGAGTCAATCAGCTAGCCAGTGGGAAAGGTGAGGTGGCCGTCCCTTCCCAATCGGGTGTGGCTCCGCCCACGGGTTCACTGTCCCAACCAGTCGCCGAAAGATAGGGCGGACGCTCTTGTTTGTCTGTCCCAACTCGCACCTGCTCTCTTCCCTTCGCGGGCCGTGATCTGGAAAGAGCAGAACGGCATGTGAGCTGACCTTCCATTTACACGTGGCTCCGGCTCGATCCCAGTGCCGGAATCAGGCATTGGGCCCGCGGTGGCGGACTGTGGTTGTTTCTTGCCTGACGAGCCAAGCCCGCCAACCCAATGTTTCATCGGAAAATGCGGACTTTGCCCGATAGCCGCGCCTTCTTGACTTTGGTTGACAGGCGTGCGGCCACGTAGGCCAGCACGAACCAGGGCTCGTTCCTTCAATCAGGCTTCGCAGAATCGCAACGCATGGATTCCATGGAGCCGTCGTGATGAGCACTGATGCACAAGCGTAAGAATTGCCTGCCTTGGTGCTTTAGTCTGCTGTTCGCTTGCTGCGGCCTGCATTTCTCTGCAACGCGCAATCGGTAGCAATTGATAATTGATCATGCAGGGCGACGACTCTAGGTGAGGCGATGGGGCTCGTCAGGCGGCCACGACAACGACAATCCGAGTCGACTGACCGTCGGATTGACCAGATGATGCCGAGATTTGGTATGGTCAATTGGCCTCTCTCATGTCGACAGTTGGGTCGATCCCGAAAGCCGTAGCCGATAAGAGATGCAAGAACGGCAAGGCCGTGATAAATCGGTCAGTCCATGTCATGGGATGTTTCGCTGAATGGCTGGAACACCAACCAACCACTGCTGCAAAGTTAGGTGGGATTGGCAGCAATTGAAAGCTTCGCGGAATGATAACTAATGTCGATGAGACGAACAAAGACAAAAACATACCCAGAAAAGGGCAGGGGCTGCCTGCAGCCGCAAGGATTTCCAGAGCCCCGAGCTCCAAGGATGTGATGCAAAATTGAAGCGGTGAACAAAGCGAACTCGGCCAGAAGGCTGGGGAGTTGACTTGCTGATCTCAGCGGCAAGGTGGGATGTTTGGTACCATACCGATGAAATCCACGCTGGCTTCGTCTTCATTTGGGTTTATTCTTGCTTTTCCCCCTCTTTCAGAGACAAGAAAACTGACGTCGTCAACGACTATCATGACGTTGGCGGGGTCGTCTAAGCTATCGTCAAGGCCATGTCTAGAAGTTTGGCATCATGCATGGGATGGGGGCGGTGAAGTTGTTAGTGGTGCTTAACCCTAACCCTGGTGAGGATGAGGGCATGGCAATAGACACAGCTGGGAGCAGCTGTCAAACTCCGGAGCTGGGAAGGTTCACCTGCGCTAACCCCAATCCGCCAAGACACGTCTTCCGCCACTGTTCCCCCCACTTCCACCTCGAATCTTGAACTGCGAAACCACCACGAATATCCGTATAGCCATCAACTCTCATTGCTTTGCCAACCACGTAGCCGTGGGCATTAGCCATGGTTCTTCAAGATCTTGGCCGCCGCATCAATGCGGCTGTCAGCGACCTGACGCGCGCCCCCAATCTCGATGAAAAGGCAAGTTGCCGACTTGCGCCGATTCCTGTGGTGATATGTTGAAAGGGGTCGAAACTACACAACGCAACCCCAAAACTATGATGGGGGGAGTCCATCCATCTCTAACCATTGATCTCCTCTAGGCCTTTGATTCTATGCTCAAGGAAATATGCTCCGCCCTTCTCGAAGCCGATGTCAACGTACGCCTCGTCGGCCAGCTCCGCAAATCGATTCGCTCGACCGTCAACTTCAAAGAGCTCCCGCCCGCCGTCAACAAGAAACGCCTCATCCAGAAAGCGGTGTACGATGAACTCGTGCGCCTCGTCGACCCGCACGCCGAGCCGTTCAAGCCCAAGAAGGGCAAGTCCAACGTCATCATGTTCGTCGGTCTTCAGGGTGCCGGAAAGACGACAACATGCACAAAACTCGCCCGACACTACCAGTCGCGAGGGCTCCGCGCGTGTCTGGTGTGCGCCGATACGTTCCGTGCCGGTGCTTTCGATCAGCTGAAGCAAAACGCGACCAAGGCCAAGATCCCATACTACGGCAGTTTGACGGAGACGGATCCTGCTGTGGTGGCCCGGGAAGGCGTGGAGAAATTCAAGAAGGAGCGGTTCGAGGTCATCATCGTCGACACGTCGGGTCGGCACAGGCAGGAGAGCGCGCTGTTCCAGGAGATGACGGATATCCAGACGGCCATCAAGCCGGACGAGACCATCATGGTTCTGGACGCGTCGATCGGCCAGCAGGCGGAGGCCCAAGCCAAAGCGTTCAAGGAGGCAGCCGATTTTGGGGCTATCATTATCACCAAGACCGACGGCCACGCGGCAGGTGGTGGTGCCATCTCGGCCGTCGCGGCCACGCACACACCCATTGTCTTCATCGGTACGGGTGAGCACATGCTCGATTTTGAGCGCTTCGTGCCACGGAATTTTATCAGCAAGCTCTTGGGCATGGGTGACATGGCTGGGTTAGTGGAGCATGTGCAAAGCCTGAAGCTGGACCAGAAGGAAACGATCAAACACATCAGCGAGGGTATCTTCACGGTCCGCGATCTGCGCGACCAGCTGCAGAACATCATGAAGATGGGCCCGCTCAGCAAGATGGCGGGCATGATCCCCGGCATGAGCAACATGATGCAAGGGATGGACGACGACGAAGGGTCGCTCAAGCTGAAGCGGATGATCTATATCTGCGACAGCATGACTGACAAGGAACTCGACAGCGACGGCAAGATCTTGATTGAGCAACCGACGCGGATGACGCGGATCGCGCGGGGGTCCGGGACGACGGTGCGTGAGGTCGAGGACCTGCTGACGCAGCAGCGCATGATGGCGGGCATGGCCAAGAAGATGGGCGGCAACATGAAGAACATGCAGCGGGCGCAGAGCGCCATGGCGGGCGGCAACAAGGCGCAGCAGCTCGCAGCGATGCAAAAGCGGTTGCAGAGCATGGGCGGTGCTGGCGGGGCCGGTGGCATGCCAGACATGGCCAGCTTGATGAAGATGTTTGGTGGTGGCGGTGGCGGTGGCGGTGGGATGCCTGGGCTGGGAGGGATGGACATGAATGCGATGATGAAGCAAATGAGTGGGATGATGGGTGGGCAAGGGGGTGGCGGCCGCGGAGGGCGGAGGTAATCTTCAGCTTAGGTCGTTGTTGTCTGTTGTCCTGGGATGCCATTTCTCATCATAAAACTTTGCATTGTCCGGCGTCTGGGGTTACAAACAGGGTGGGTTGGTCGGACGGCTTGTTGATGATCATGCCACTATCAATATTACAGCTTTTGAGTTGAGTCCTAAAGCGGTGTTTATACTTCGAACGCGTTCTGTGCCCGCCACAGCCTTCTTGAGTATACGCCAGGGGCCACATCGGGACGGAAGTACCGAATTACGGTGTCAAACAACTGAGCCTACATATGCTTTCTTTCTCAGCCTATATCTCAGACTCCTCAAGGGACTCGTAGTCTACATTTCAGGGGTATCATACCCATGGTGTTTATTGATATCAGCTAACTAGCCACACAGAGCGCCATCAAGTCTGTGGCAGCAAAAAGGGGTGTGCCTCTGTGTTGAGCACATACTTATCAAGGCTGATAAGGTCAGGAGAGGAGAAGACGAGGTAGAAATATTTCAGCGTCTCGGCGATCCAAAAGCTCTGCCAGCGGTGTTAGTAGTCATCGTTGATACGACATCATAATCTAGATTGAGTAGATCTTTTGGGGACAGTAAGGAGAGGAACGTAGACAGGGCCGAGCTCACCTCCATGTAGTCATCCAGTGGCAAGTTCGGCTTGTCCTCGGTGACATCCAACACGGCCGCACTCCCCGTCTCCGTGGCCGTCCCGCGTGCCACGGCCTGGAACATATCCCAGGCAGCCTCCTGCCACTCCATGTCGCCCGTGATCCGCCACAAGTAAAACACGCTCTCGATGGCCTCCGGTCGCAGGATGTACCGCGGGTCCTTCGCGGTGGTAAAGCCCTTGGGCAGATGCGGACGATACTCGCGCCGCTTGCCGGCCTCCTGCACCCAGAGATCCTCATCCCACGCACACGGCCCCGCCCCGATGTGGTCATACCCGTTGTTACCCGCGCCGCTCGCATCGCCGCCGACACCACTGCCGCAGGGCACCATGTTGAGACGCTCCGGCATCATGCCTGTCGGGAACGCGCGGTAGGCGTAGACACAGCCGCGGGCGAGGCGAGCGCCAACGGCGACGTCCTGCTCGTTTTGGAAGAGCCGTCCGGCGAGGGCAAAGGTGCCGCCGATGAAGCAGGTCAGGTGCTCGGTCTCCGGGTCCAGACGGGAGTTACCGTCGGGGTCAAAGTTGAGGTTGCCGCTGATGAGGATGTCGGCTTCGGGGCTCGTGGAGTCGGGCACCATGGGCCGGAAGAAGAGGTTGCGCTTGGCAGCGTCCAGAAAACCCCGGGTGAGGGTGGCGATCTGGGCGTGGCCCCCGAGCAGGAGGGCATGCATCTTGGGGAAATACTCGTAGAGCGAGTCGGCACAGCCGCCGAGCGTGAAGGTGTTGCCTGCGGTCACGTCGAGATGCGCCATGGACACAAACATCGGAAACAGACCCGGCACGGCGGTCTGGTTCTGGCCGCGGTAAAACAGGTCCACAATGCCCGTAATGGCGTCATAGTACTTCGGGTCGCCCGTCATCTGGCTGAGGCGGGTGAGCTCGAGGGTCAACGTGCCGGGAGACGCCGAGACGACGTGGGGTTCCATCAGCAGGCCGGTCCCCTCTTTGGCGGCCTCGAAGTTGATGTTGTCGACGGGCATGCGGTCCATGGTGTTGAAGCCGCCATAGATCAAGTCGCCCAGCTCCACAGCCTTTTGCAGCAGCACCCCACGCCCGGAGAGGTCATAGGCGGCCATCAGCCCGCCGAGATAGCGGATGTTAGTCTCGAAAATGTTGACGAGCGGGGAAGTGGACGAGCCGAAGTCGATCTCGGCTACGGCGGCCACGGCCTCGTCAAACTCGTCACGCAAACCCATGATCCAGAGCGTGTCCAGTGAGTCAACCAAGGTGGCAGCCCAGCCCGAAAACTGCTGGGTGCCACCCTTGGACAGCGGGAGGAGGGCGTCCTGCATCCAGGCATACCGGCGGTAGCTATCCCAGCACTTCTTGGTCAGCCTCAGGACCGCGTCTCGCCTGGCCTCTCGTGTCGCGCGAGCGGCGGCGGATTCCTTCTTGAACTTGTGCTGGACCCGCGGGAGGTTCCCTTTCCCTTTCCGGGGGGGCTTAGGCAACTGAGCAAGGTTGGTGGGTGGTGGATGGCGGTACTCGATGTTCCCCCAGTCGACGCTGCTTTTGACCACTTTGATGGGATACCGTGGTGGGCCCGAGTTCATGTGCCGCTCAAGCAAAGTAGACTCGCTCGTGCCGCCAGACCGGCTGACGAGGTAGAAAATGGTGAGGCAAAGGGCGATGGCCACCAGAACATGCTTGCCCCGCGTGAGGCTCGCCAGGCGCGAGCGCGGTCGCCACTGGCGATGTGTCGGGGGGCGGAATTGTGGCATTGGCGTTCCGGGGACCACGCTGCACGGTTTCCAATGAAGGGGGAAGTGGCCCGCCCGTGAGAGTATTCAATGCGGACCGCCGGAAAAGAAGACACCGTGTGGTGTTGCAGTTACAACGACATGGAGACGATGGGCAATGTTACCATGCACCCAAAAAGCAGACACGGCATGTAATAAATAATGAGAGACAAGGTACGGAGTATTGATCAGATATTCAGTTAACAGCCGGTCCCCGCGTTGAGTGCGTGTCTCCCGGTGAGTCCGGTTCAAATGATCATCGCCATTCAAAAGTGAACAAGTCAGCGGATACCCACGGCGCATCCTTGGTGGTTTGCACTGGCTGTTGTTGAACAATCAAGAAAAGAAACGCAGATCAGGGGTTGCTTTTCCTTACTTTCTTGTGGGCTGCACTGTGCGTGACCAGCTGGGGGCACACTCCAAGGCTCAGTTTGCCGAGCCTGCTAGCCGCTGGACGGAAGGCGCGATGTCCATAAATACAGTGTCAATTTAACTAAATATTGACTGTACTGTGCCTCGATCTGCAAGCTGGCGAAACGAGCGTCCTCTTGGCGCGCGGGACACCCATCCCTAACCCTCACCTCGGGTACTCTTCGTTCGCTACGCGACAACAAAATATTTCTCTTCCTGGCTCCATCTCCCCGCTCCATTCTCAGTCTTTCTAACGTTACTTCTTGGTGAGAATAAAAATCTCGCCCTCGGCACTGTTGTCACTGCCCACAAACAGGCCGCGCCCCGCCGGGTCCCACGCCGCAGCCGTCAACCGGTGGCAGTTGCTCTGGGTCAAGCCGTTGGCGGTGCAGCTGCCCGGGTTTGGCGTGGTGAAGATGTCGGTGTAACCGGTCTGGCTATCGGCGGCCGCGACCGGGTCATAGCTACCGTCCTCGAGCTTCTGGAAGGGGATCTCGACCACCTTGAAGCCGGTTGCGGGCTGGCGGTCCCAGCTGCCGTGGAAGGCCACGTACATGTTGCTGGCGTCGGCGTTGAACGTGTTCCAAATGGGGGCTGTGTGTGTGTGTGTGTCAGTCTCAGTATTATTCTAGGCTTGTTACTCTCCTTGTAAATTCTTTTCATTTTCTTTTCTCTCTATCTTTTTTTCTCTTGGTTTGTCATGATATCGTTCTCCAGGAAACATACCGGAGTGTGCCTGAAACGATAGGCGCGGCGGGATGGCCTTGTTAGTGCCGCACGCAGCGTCGTCGTATGAACTGCTGGGCGAGAGCACAAAGCTGCTGCCCGTCTTGAGCCCGTTGAAGCTCGACGGGTCCCAAACCGCGAAGCAGGTCGGGTAACCGTACCAGGCATCGCGGACCGTCAGGGGGTCACCCACTGCAGAGGGTTAACTTTTTTTTTTACTCAACGAAAAAGGAAAATAACTCACATTTGTTGAGCTCCTCGGCAGGATTGTCGACGTGAATGTCCTTTTGCTGACCGTTCTCGGTCCGTTTAAAGTCCTAATTAATGAACACATTGTCAGACAAACCCCCACGAGTCAATGGACACACCTTCGGGAAGAACGTACATCACCACTGTTCTCAACGCCCCAGTACACGCCACTCGGGTCCGGCACAAAGCCGATGGTGTTGCGCAGACCGTAGCCAAAGACCTCACCATCGGTATTGTAGTTATACCCGCCCGACGGCACTTTGTCCATGTCAAAGATCTTGATGATGGCGCGGCCAGTCTCCTTCTGGGCAGCAGCCTGGTCAAGGTTGGCGTTGCTGCCGACCTGTACGAGCAGCAGATTCGGCTGCGACGGCACCACGCTGAGGGTGCGTGTTGAGTGGATGCCCGTGGAGATTCCCTTGATGACGGTCTGCTGGTTGGACAGCGTCCGCGCGGCCGAGTCGTAGGTCCAGCCGTACACGGCCGTCTCGCCGCTGGCGTACATGGCCGAGCCGTCCGGGGTCAAGGCCAGGCCATGGTTGAGCTGGTTAGCTGTGATCAGCATGTTGGTGCTGTTGACACAGCCGTCGGCCCCGAACGTGTGCACCGAGATGCCGCGTGTGGCCTGCGCCACCAGCATGTTGCCCGCCGGGTCCCAGACTATGGTGCGGACCTGCTTCAGCCCGCCCACCAGCTTCATGGCCGACCATCCCGACGATGCCGTGTACTGGAACCGGAAGCTGCCCGCGTCTGGGCACGATGCAGGGAGCGGAAGCTCCGGTACTTGGGCATGCGTGCCTATGTTTTAAGCCGTGCTGCGTGTCAAAACTTTGAGAACTTCACAAAGACAATTTCTCTCCTTTCGTAATGTAATAATTGTTATAAAAGTGTGTCAGACTCACTCGTCAAGAGCAGGGCCGCTGTGGCTGCGACGGTTTCGAAAAGGCGCATGATTGTTCCTGGGGCCCAACAGATCTAACGGGCAGCAGGCCGACGATCTTGACGGCTGATAAAACCAACAAGCAAAGATATGACGGGAATAGCGAGGCTTCTTCTTCACCCAGAAGCTGACTCGAGACAAGGAACCGAGCCCACTTGATTCCGTCCCGGGCGGGCCTCGTTTACTTTTCTATCCCGAGCTGCACCATCCAAGGGACGGGGCGGGCCATGTTTAGACAGGATCGCCTTTGTGCATGGACAGTCTTGTAGCCCATGCTAGTTAAAGGTCCGTAATAACCACAGCGAGAAACGTCGTCACAAGCTAGTATCCCAATTTCCATTGCGGCCGAATTCATGCTGTGATTTCCTCCGCACCATGGGCTTTGAGCGGGGGGCATTGGGTCGTCGAGAGCATCCGTGGCTCTCTAACCCTGTAGGACGGTGTTCTCGAGGGTGTTGGCCAACCAGCACACCGGAGTCAAAGGCCCCTAATATCGAAGTTGATAGCCTGTTGACCTATTCGGCAGATCAGTTCCGAAAAGCTTGTCGAGGATCACGGCAGTTCCCTCGCTCCTCGCGGCCCCGCCTCTCAGGCGCTGCGGGGAATTTGCAAAGAAAATCCCTATTGGAAGCCGGTTCCAGTTCGTCGCATATTAATTTATATTTCTCCGTCGTCCCTTGCGAATCCCTGTTTTTTGCCTATCCCGATGTGACCAGCCTGCAAAACACAAAACTTAGGAAAAGATAATATTTCATGCCGAAGCCTACCCGCAGGCATCGAGTTCTCTTGTACCCAATCGAAAGCATCTAATTGTGTTGGTAGGATCAACAGAGAGACAGCTCGTGAGTCGCCGGACCCGGGGGGAGGGGGGAAAAAAACGTCAAGCCTCGAACCCCTTGGTCCATTACCACTGTGGGCCAATTCTTGTCCTAGGACTACATAGGTACCTAGTATACGTGGAGGTATGGGTCGGCGGGTTCGCCTCTAAATCAAAGCCCGGGCCGCCGTGGTCTAACCTTGGCGGAGTCTCATGGGCACGACGGGCCCGTCGGATTGACCTCATCAGTCACCCGGCAATCTCGCCCAGTTGCACCGGCCTCGGTTTTTGCCAGCCGTGGCACAGTTATGGGGGAATTGGTCCAGGCAGGTAGTCCCGAGTAATACAAGGTTAGAGAATCACTCGGCAGACCTCAACATTAGTATCCGTCTCATCAACAGTACAATTACCACCGAGTCTGATGCGACACTATGAATCCAGAATTCAATATGCGTGGTTTCGTAATGCCTCCTAGGTCGTAGAAACTACAACTATGTGTAAAATGGGCTAGGGCTCCCGGGAAACGTACATACGTACCTACCTAGGGATGTATTACTGACTCCTCTGCACGTTGATGTTTAGTGCAGACCTCCTCCGCCTCCCATCGCCTGCTTGGCTAAGGTAGTACTTATTCATATTTGTAAGTAGCTATTCGTATTCTGGTAAGAATCACGCTCCTGGGGCCCTCCAAAACATATTTCAAAACAAAATCAGTTAATACACAACCTCAAAAGATTCTCTGCAAAGTTGTCAGCTCCGCTCTCTAATTACTCGCAGTCTTCTCTCTTAGCTCTCCGTCCAATAACCGACTACCGCGTCTTCTCAATCATAGCCGGCGCGTTTACACCACCGCCCACGGCCAACACACCCGCCTTGCACAGAATCTCAACTGTGCTGTCAACCACCTGGGGGTCCACACCCTGGGTGCGCTCGGGGAAGCGGACCGTCTTGAGCCACTCGCGCGCGTCTGCCTCCGAGTAGTCCAACTGGGTGCTGATGTATTGCACTGCCTCTTCGGTGTGCTCGTTGAAGTGCCGGATGCCCAGGTTGAGCTTGTCGAGCAGGTCATCGATACGAGAGGTGTCCTGCGGCGACTCAGCGGACAGGAGGCGGGTCGACGCGACGATCTTCCAGCTGCTCCAGGGGGTGTAGATCTCGCCGACCTTGCGGATCTCGCCGTTGTCGTAGTAGCGCTTGGACGTGAAGTGCTCCCACATAAAGAAGTCGGCCTCGCCCGAGTTGACGGCCCCGCGGAGCTTCTCAAAGGTGTTGAGCACCACCGTGTCTGAGTACGGTGATGCCTGCTCCTTGGCCGTGCCCACGGCCGCCGTCGGCACCAGCCACCCACGCTCGTCCGCCAGCACATACCCCATCACGTAGCTCCCGGAACCTATGCGCGACACGCCGATCTTTCCGCCCTGCAGCGAGTCAACCGACTGGATCTCGGGACGGTCCGCGCCCGTCGAGATGGCCCAGCCTATCAAGACGTCGTGTTAGCCGTTGTTCTTGTCTTTTTTTACTTTTCTCAGTTTCTCTTCTCTTCTTTTGGTCCTTTTTTCTCTCTTCATGCGATGGAATGTGATAGATGAAAGGGTGTTAAATCACTTACACAACGGTGTTTCAACATAGGTCCCGACGAGCCGGTATCCCCCATCCTCCTCGCCGGCCTCTTGCGCCTTGCCCAACCCGGCCACCCAGCCCTCCGTCAAGCCGATGCCCACGTCGATCTCCCCGGCCCGCAGCGCCGTAATCATATGGCCCGTTCCGGATGGGAACGGAACCAGTTCCGCATCGAGTCCGTAGTGCTTTTGCGCAAAGTGGATCGGCGTCGAGAAGTGCTCGGGTACGAAGCCGATTCTGAATCCCATTGTGGCTGGCTGGAGTGGGCTTTTCTTTTCCCTTTTTCTTTTCTTACTTTTTTCCTAATCAAAATCACCAAGAAATCTTGGCGTGTGCTTGTGAGGCGCTGGGGGAGACGGAAAGTGGATGCGCCGATGCCGGTTCAGCTTTGGTGGCGTCTTGTTCCAACCTGGGTTGTTGAGTCCAGGTTCGAGTTCTGAGAGGACAATGTCACTTTAATTTGGCCCAGGCTTTGGTGAGTGCCGGCTTATTGTCTGGTTTAAAGTCTCATTTGCTAGCGTAGTTGTACCTAAGCAATAGTGCACGGTTCCCCAATCCACAAGCAGAGTAAAAAAAAAATGTGTTGGTGGACGAGACAAGGGGAAATGACGCAACCTGGAACCTGCAATGCGGGGCACAGCAACGGCACTTTGCAACAGCGGTTCCCAAGAGTTTCAGGACCCCGCTATGCTTCTTTCTGCCGCCCGTCCAGTGTCCCTGAAGGCATGCCTCTGCAGAGATATTTTTCGAAGGTTTCAAGGCACGGGTTTGAGAGATGTTTGATCCGAACCGAACACGAGAGACGGCTCACTCCGAGCCTTCAAACCCAAAACCAGGTAATAACTCCCTACTTCAACAAGCCAACCAAGCGCTTGAACCTAAGCCCAGCTGTCATTATCCGAGTGTACTGTAATTACAGCAAATTACCCGAACGCAGGAAACGCCCAAATCACCTTGAACAAAGACAGCCCAGAGTCGAGCGTCCACACCTCTGAAAAGTCGGGACAGGGGTCCCGTTCAAATCAGACAGAAAAAAACACCAATGAGACTGCCCGGAACCCTGAAAAACTTTCCAACTCGGGAACCGACATCCACATCGTTCCTGGCCCCCCCCAAGCCCCTGCTGCATGAGGGCCAGGAGGTCCAGCCGACGGCACCTTGCGATAGTTCGATCGGTTCCTGATCCGAACGCGATTCACTCGTGCCTTCCGGCTCCTCAAGTGCAGGTGGCAGCCGGGTCCAGGCTTGGTTGCCTGGGTCTTCACTAATATTGTGTAGGTTTCTCCTAATAGGCGAGAAAGCCGTTGCAACGGCCAGGAACGGTGGGCTGAGCAACAACCAAAAACAAAGAATTGGAAAGGCGCCACGGCGGGCCGAAACTTATCACCAACCACCGAAACTCGCTCACCCCCTTGCTACCCTGCTCCTCGAAAAGAGGTTGACGGAGTCTCAAACCCCAGGTTGCCATTCTGGAAAGCGCTTGCAACATCTTGTGCAAGCCTGAGTTCTGCCGTGGGCGAAGAAAAATGTAAGCGGGAATATGAATCACACCGCGCCAGCGACGGACAATATCGAGCCCATCACTGTGTGCTTTTCCATGCTCTCCACCGTCTCCAGCCTCCAAGCATTGTTTTCCCGACAGCATCCCTTCAAAGTCGTGTCCCAAGACCCTTCAAAGTCCCGAGAGATTATTTGTTCAGAATCGTCCTCGGGCCCTACATTCAGCCCTGAGCAATCAACACCAAACCGTTCCATTGCATTGCATTTCACTGCACGTTGTTACATTCACAGCCCAGCTCGGGAGGGCAAGGCAACTTAGAGCCCCAATCGGAAAAGGCGAGCTTCGATGATCAACTGTGTTACTGTATACATGGCAGTGTATTATGGTTGTTGTTGATGCTGGACATCCGCCGAGATTCCCAACAAGCTAAAGCTTTTGCCTTAATGCCCGCTTCGTAGGTCACATGGTTGGAAATGGTACGTATCAAGAGTGTTACTCACCGGGCAAGTAAACATGGTCAGCGAGGACCTTTTCTTCCTTTTTTTCAAAAGAATTGCCACCAGCAACCTATCACAAAGCCCCTCTCAAGGCTCTCCATCGCTTGTTAAGTATTGTTTTTGTTTTCTTCTTTTTTTTTTCCTTTTTTTGATCAACGGGAATCACAAAGTACAGCCTTCGTGCGCAATTGGCAATCATCTCGTCGTCAATAGGAGCGCTTCACAAGTTGTGGACAGTGTGGTGGACGCCCCGAGTGCTAAAAATAGGAATACCAAGAGTGTAGTGAAGCTCGCTGGAGGGAGATAATTAGTGAGAGCCTGGTCTGTGGCGTCTCCCAAAATGTGGAGGGGCCTTGACTTCCGGCTTGGCTTCTGGAAAGTTTGGGAGCAGATCACCCTTTTTGGAGGCGGGAGATGCACGTTGTTGGGGTCTCGGGGGGTAGAAATTGGAACGGTGTCCCTGGCCGAGTCACTTTTCCATTTCAGCCGAGAGAGAAAAACACGAGAAACGGGATGGCTGCTACGCGATCTACCCCGGGGTCCCGTGAAAGAGAGACATTCCCCTGGATTCACTTACACGTGTACCGTGTCCCGTACCGTGGCGCCGTGACGGCCACGACTACCGAGTCCCCGGATCGGCCAAAATCCGGGGTGAAGACTCCGGAAAGAATTGAGATATAAATCCAGCACTCTTCCCCGATGACTATTATTTCTTGCTTCTTCAGAGTTCGACTACACCGAAACACCCATTGGCGCATCTCACGCAGTAAAGAAACCACAAGAACACTCAAACCCCCATCGTTTGTCCCCCGATATCCAAATTCCCCAAACAACATCGTCGTCAAAAACATCATCATCACCATCATGCGCTCCTTCGCAGTCACCGTCCTCACCCTCCTAGGCGCGGCCAGCCTTGCCACCGCCGCCGCCGTGTCACCTCTCTCGGCCCGCCAGGAAGGGTCCCGGCCCTGCGGCTTCAAGATCGCCCCCTGCGACGCTGGCCAGGTCTGCGAGCAGGTCGACCCGGAGTGCGCCCGCGGCGATACCTGCGAGGGTATCTGCGTCGCCGCGCCCTCCTGCGGCGGCATTACGGCGACCGTCTGCGAGAACAAGGAGCACGTGTGCGTCGACGACCCGTCGGATGACTGCGACCCGGCCAACGGCGGCGCCGACTGCAGCGGCATCTGCGTCAAGCCCGTCACGTGCGGTGGTTTTGCTGCTCTCGAGTGCCCTTTCGCCGGCCAGAAGTGTGTCGACGACCCGACTGACATCTGCACGGCTGACTGTGCCGGTATCTGCGTCTAAGCTTGTTTTCGACACCGGGGAACTGGCGGGGGGCATCGGAAAAGGGGGTTATGGAGCCGAGGTCTTATGGAAAAGGGTGGTAGGGCTGCAAAAAAGCATGTATCATATTCTGTTTGTACGCAACTAAGTGTATGGAATATGGCAAAGAAGACGAAAAGGAAAAATACACGTTGATGTTGTGGATTCCTAGTCCGCAATGGTGCCAACGGCATTTCGTCCTGATCAGGCGCATTTTGGCCACTCGGACGGATTCCAAGACTCACAGCAATAAACCACAGTACAGTTATTAATTAGTCAAAATCGCATCTACCTATAGAGTCTGGGTGGATTTCACACCTAGCTCTGTCAGCAAGTCTGCTTCGTCGATGAAAACCTCAACCCACACTAATTTCACCCCAAGATCCCACCTCCAACAGCTCTAGATGTCGCGAAAAGGAGACTTTCAATCCTTTTCTCGGACCCCTCGCATTCATCTACAAAGCAAGCGAGGTAGGACATACCAAGGTTAGTTTCTCGAGCACAGTAGGTTACCAACGGACCCAAAACAGGGCAAATTAATTAATTCTTGAAACAGAAGTGTCCTATCGCTGCCGACTCCGGTAAGTCGTAATATATTGGCCCCCCACATTACCCGTTTACCGTTCCATTTTTGTTCCTTTTCTGAGAGCACGACCACCCATCGTGACGATTGATGAACCAAGAGGTCGAACGTCAACCGGGTAATTACTGTGGCGCCAGCAAAAAAATAAAAAGTAAGGCTGTCGTTATTAATAGCATGTAGAGCTCCTGAACCAACATCCCAGACCACCAACAACCTCATCACACGGCCGCCAACCCTTACACCGTGTAACGGAAAAAGGTTGCGTCGTCGCCCTTCTCACGCTCCGTCGCCCTCTCTTCCTCCGTGTACTCGCTCGGGGGCTTGTACTCGCGGTTACGGCGGGCGTTTTCCCGGCGTAGATACACCGTCATCCACACCGAGAGAATCAAAGCCATGACCTGACAGCCGAGCAAAGTGCCGAAGCCGGGCATGTATCGCGGCTTGTCCTTGGCGAGGAATAGGTAGGCCGAGACGGTGCCACCAAGGTTTCCGAAACCAACGTGCATGGCGATCCCGACGCCGCGTTTGAGTGAGCCGCCAATGTTGTTGCCGTTCCATGCCACACCCATGGGGACGTTAGGGTAAATACCCGTAGCCAGGAAGAAGCAACCCGTGTACCGGACCGCGCTGGATGAGCTAGCCATAAGCATGATAAGGCCAATTATTCTAGAATGCACACGGTTAGTTTTCGCTCAAACATGGTAGGCTCTTTATGTATGGAAGCCACCTACGCAACCACCATGAACCCAATCATGAAAATGCCACGCTGACCCATCTTATCAGCACACCAGCCCGCGCTTACGCAAAACACGCAGGCCACGACATAAGGAGGGACGGTCAACAGTTGGGCCATCTCACGGCTGTTGGCCGTGCCAAGATCGTTGATGATGGTCGGCAGGAAGAGCGAGTACGAGTATAAGCCGGTGTACACGCCGATGGTGATGAACATGTGAACCCAAATCTTCCAGTCGCGCAGGGCATCCCACAGATATCTGAGGTCAAACTCGTCCGCCAACGAGGAGCGGTCACGCCTCAGACGTGCCTGCACTTCGGCACGCTCCTCTGGGGTCAGGAACTTAGCTGTTGCCGGATAGTCTTGCATCACCTTGAAGGCAACAATGGCTGGACAGTAACAAAGACTCGAGGTTAATTCCCTGGCTGCGCATAATCGAAGAAGAATGTAACTCGGCACTACTAACCAATGATAAAGGTCAAGAGACCCTCAAGGATAAAGATCCATTGCCAGCCGTTAAGGCCCCCCAGCCCCCTCATCTTTATAATCCCAAAGGCAAGGAGCCCGCCAAAAGCACCAGCCGCAGTAGCAGCCGAGAAAAAGATAGCCATACGCAGGCCACACTCATGACGACGGTACCACATTGTAATGCTACCAAAGACGCGTTAGCCCATCTCCCTTTTTCCTCTTTCCGACCGAAAACTTATTTACTCGGTCAGTAAGGGCCGTCAACTCACTAATATGTGATACCCGGGAAAAGACCGCCCTCGGCAAGACCCAGCGCAGACCGGCACGCCATCAGGCCCGGGTAGTTGTGCACAATTCCCATCAGTGTGGTGCACACGGCCCAGGCGACCATGATACTGGGGATCCAAACCGACGGCCGGAACCTCTTCATGGCCATATTGGACGGAATCTCGGCGGCAACATAAAACGGGAAGAAGATGGCCAGGGCATCGTTATATTGGAGTCCCGTCTTGTCGATACCCACATCGTCCTCAAGAGAATCCAAGCGGGCATTGCCAATGTTGGTGCGATCCAAAAATGAGAGGAGATAGAGTAAAGCAAGAAATGGGATAAGTGTCAGGTCGACCTTGCGGATGAGCTTGCGGGTGGCAGCTATGTCCCACCCGGCGCTTTCAATGCTCCCGGGGCCCGCGTCCGTGGCCACATCGAGGCCGCTTGCGTGGGACATGGAGGGCGCGCCGGCCGTTTTTTCGCCGGTGACGCTATCCGATTCCGTAGTTAAGGCATCGGGGGCCAATGCTTCGGCGGGGAGCTTGCCCATGGTGACTCGCTGGCTGGAGCCGACAACAACAAAGGCGTTCAAAGTTACCCGGGGAAGGCAGCACTTAGGAGGGTTCTTTCCTACTAAGTAGTCTTGTCGTCGAGTTTGTTATGTCTCTTGGTAGCACCGCCAAGAATTATCCGAAAAAGAAACAAAAAACACCACGTTTTCGTTCAAGGAAGGGAAGGAGCATGAACCGGAGGAGGGATGGATGGGGGAACCATCTGGAAGCAACGACAAATGTTCGTCCATGTGGCACAACAGGCCGTTGTGTGGGGTGGGAAGATCGCTATCTTATACATGACGGCGGCGCCTTCCTTCACCCTAAGATCAACGCCAAGCGTGAGACATACCGGGAGGAAGCCACAGCCCACGAAGCACTCTCGGCCGATTGAACGACGCCATGTCTTAGCACCCCAGATTTTTCATCTTGGCCAAGAAAGGGGGGGCTCATTTCTCCTCTTCCAAGCATTTTCCCCGCTTCCCCTACCTGTTTGTCGTGTCGGGCTTGGGTACGAAAAGAGAAAGTCATGACTTGGCCGTTTTGGCGACATCAACAACTCGAAAAGCCCAGTCAAGGGGCCACAAATCGCCCGTCCTAGTCCCGGCCTGTACCACCCGAAGTGAAACGGAAATGCGGCCAAGGAGCAAAAATATGTGTGTTACCTTGTGTTTCTTGTGGCATCGACCCCGATGAAGTTAGGAAGTCCGCATCAACGGTCAGCACCGGATTCCTCCACTGGGAATCCTGCTCACATCATTCCCTAATAAGTGGTGCTACAAAGCTATCAGACGGCAGATAATTAATGCTCCAAGCCCCCGGTGAGCACGCCGCCGTCGGGAAATAACTGGCACAGATCCATGGTCCAGTCAATCCACTAGTGCCGGCCAAGATGCTTGGGTCACTTGGCAGCTTCGGTCTTTGCTTCGAGATTCGAGACTGCGAGTGCTGCGGTTTGGATTGTTGTGTTTGGTCGCGTGAGCTCAGGTTTCCGCAATCCCATCGGCAAACAAGACGAGGATTTTAGGCCCAGAGGAGGATATTCGCTCATCGGACTGACTTTCAACATTGGCACGCCTTATACGTCGGTGGATTAACCCTACCTGAGGCAAGCGATCTCCGGGCTCCCTGGCAATACTTTACGATAACTGACTCCGTCCATGGGTAACGCATAGTCATCCCCTACGATGCGTGGTGATCGGGTGTGACAAGGAGACGAACCCTACGAAGCATTGCGGTAGGGCTCGAGGCCTTTCGCTGGCCAACCCAAAATATGTATTTACCCGAGTCGCATGAAATCATGCAGCACCCGCGACGGCCGCCTTGAACACCTTGCCCTCGGACAGGACCACGCCCACGAAGAACCAACATAATTATGGTTAAGCAGCTTCCAGGTGTTCTTTGTCAATAAATTATTCGATCCCAAGGGGTCGCAAGGAGTCAGGCACCATTTAAAGCGCGGCAACGTCCATTGCAGTCGCTTTTCGTCGGCTATGAATGTGAGTAGCGCACTACGGGCAGTACGGCCTTGGAATCTATCCCAGTTGTCGAAAGGAAGCCCACTACGTAAAGTGGGACTAGGAGTAAACGCCATTAATTATACGAGGTTCAACTACACTCCGATGAACTGTAATTGATATGTGAATCGTTCTAAGTATCTCCGCGCCCCTATTAACCCACGTGGCATCTTGCCGAGTATCCAGCTTTTCGCTCTTGAGCCCCGTTCAACCGCGAGTGTATGATTCATCATGACCATGGGCTGGACTACGTTTTTGAGACACTCACAAATACCGGGTCCATTCTACGTACTATCTTGCCCGTGTTTGAGCTTTATTTGGGTTCAGTTTAGAGGTAAGGTTAGTAGCATGTTGTGTTCTGAGTATGTCTATTCCCGTGCCAACAGAAGATATATATTGGCCGTTTTAGTTCTAACGTTTCCACAGAGAATAAATCCATTGCGCCTCTTGAGCGGCGAATTCTTCCGGGAAACGGACTGGCGCGATCTCGTTGCCCCAAATGTCGAAGCAGGGCGTGTCCCATGCGATGAATTCGACATCCGGCAGGACGTTGCCCCAGACTTGTTCGACGACGAAGAATTTGATCGGGATGACGGGGGCGCCGTCGCGGGTGAGGAGTCGTGGTTAACTGTGCTTTATTATATACCGAAACCCTACCCGTAGCTCGGTTTGTTAATCGAATGTTCTTCACTCCCTTTATCATGCTTAACATTCATCATCGACAAGAGAGGCTAGGCCTAGTGTCTTCCCAACCCGAATACCGGAAGCTCACACAATCATTGATGAAAATGGAAACCTCTCTGGCGAGGGGAGGTAACCGCGACATAAATTGGCACCCAAAATGAAGGCAACTAACCCCCTATGATCAGAGAAATGCGACTGGCAATTGACCACAAGTCCAACCGAATACCTGACTCCCAGATAATTTCGGCATGAAATTCAGATCCGACAATACACTCTGCCATTAGGTACCTCCGACGAAGCGCGGGATGGAACAGGTTCGAGTTCATCTTGATTCTCGATGAGATATCACCACTGGGAACTGGTGATACGGGAATAATGCTGTTGCATATAAGTTCGGTTCCTCCGTAGGTAGGTTTGGTGAACCCCTCGACCTTCGGGGTGTCTAAATGTTGAATAAAGCCCCGCAACAGGGTTACATACGTCAATATTGATAAATATTGATACGCACTTAAGTTGTACGCATCGCCACCGCAAAGCTTGCAGCCTGGGTTGTAGCCGTCCAGGAGATGGTCGGGCTTATCATCGTATGACAAGTTCGGATAACAAAACCGCGAATAGTGCGGTGAAAGAACTGGACGTAGGCCTGTAAAATATCTCCTGTTAGAGTAATAAACTCCAAAAATGTCCAAGGTCTAATTATCAGGCTAAGGGACGCCCGCCCTCGCTACCAATGTTTGTCGCAACTCCATTGCTACAAAATGTAGATTTGATGCCCGCACCTCAACTGGAATACTCCAAGTATCATTCCTTGCCGACCCAGCTAATTAAAATACCACTACTACCCCTTCTAATCCTTCGACCGAGTCCCGATCGTTAGCAGCTCAAGCAAGTTAGACATCAAAACGATCGGTACTAAGTCTTACAATAACTAATTATTAGATCGACCATGAGGCCACGTATTGTTTTGCCCGGGTTTGGACTAGTCAGGAGGGAGTTATGGTTTCACTCGGCAATTGAGCCAGACCTACACACCCAGTGTACAGGATTTCGTTGTTTGACTATTAATTATAAACATGTTCCAATCGCTAACCCAGTGTGCTGAGTTTATGGCACACAGTATCAGATTTACTTCGCTAAGGGTTTTATTGTGCCTCTCTATTACCAGGATCCGGCCCAACTGGCAGTGTCTCCGTCGAACCGCCGGTCGCCGGCAGCTACTTTGGCTCCTCTTGGGAAACGAGCCTGCTTCTCGACCCATCTTTTGTGAATGAACTCAAAACCGTTGTCAAGGTTTCGATAGTCGCAGTCACAGCTGAAGCCAACACATAAAGTTGGTACCAAGTAAACCTCATTGCGCCCAGGCTCTAGCCAAGTTTGGGCTTACTCACAGGCATGCGGCCCAAGGAACGACTTTTTCGGGCATCCCGATCTCACCTTTACATAGCAACACAGGAGGCAGGCAGTTGCATCCTTTAGACTTCTACCACCCATGACACCACAGGAGGCTGCGTCGACAAACCCCGATCCAAGCCCTCGTGAAGTAAGCAATAGCACATCGCGCTGACAGGCGCGCCGCCTCCGCAGCGTGGCCCCCTCGAGCGTAAGATCTGGGCATGATCCAAAGGTACAGTACAGTCCATGTCCCTAGCGATCCGAGGGGAAAACAATCCGTCTGCATTCGAGAAGATGAGAAGGTAAATACTGTGGGATGGGTTTGGTTCCAATTGTTAGATATTCTGGGTTGGAGACACCCTCCGAGACAGCCCGCGAATCACGCTCCTCAGTCTTGATGAGTCGGCCCTGCAAAGCACGAATCGGGGGCTTTCCCTCCCGAGACCACTGGTCGCTGTTCCTTCTCGGTTTCGCACCCCGCTCTGTGCTCCGCAGAAGTCCGAGCTCTGCCGTCGCACCGGCCGACATCACTGTGCAGAGGGACGTCGCATCCACCGACCTTCGCGAAGGAGCGAAGGAACTTTGGCGGGCTGGGCAAATTTGGGCGAATCAGGTGAATCAGGCGAACCAGGACGGTTCATCTGACGTGCTGCTTCTCCAAAGGCTTGCTTGCGGAGGATGGGGCACCGGGTTCCTGGTGGGAATTTTGTGGAAGTGGGGATAACGTTAGCCAGCAGGCGGGAAGCCTGTGTTCCGAGCGTTGTTTCGTCTCGGTTCGCAGCAGCCCTTGCCTAATACGGACACGGGCTTAACCCCCCAAGGACTAGCGCCGCTGACATCAAGATCCCCTTCCTGAATCGCGCGCGGCGCTGGGGAATTTTATCGCCAATTCGCCACAGAACGCAGGCCGTTCCAAATGATACACTACACTCCAGCGCGGCCTTTTGGGAGCGTGCTGTTGTAAGTGGGGTCTTCGGGTTCGGGAAGGAAGGAGAGACCTCGCAACGATGGCAACCCTTCAAAGGCCATTTCCTTTGCTCCTCCCAGGGCTCGTTGAGGGGGTCTCTCTTTGTTCTTTTTCCTCTTAATTTTCGACATATCATGGTCGAACAGCATTAGCGCCGGGGCTACGCTTGAACACCACACACCGCGACGAGACGACGCCTGACATAAACCGCCCACGTTGACCGTGTTAACCACATCGACCACGACGGGAAACTACCTAAGGGATTTCAAGGGTGGGAACCAAATCTATACGTGGCGTGGGACGAGGAGCCGAGGTTGACGGATAGGAACCTCTATCAACAATGATTGAGCAACTTCTCCGGCCGGCCGTGCTGGTGCCGGTTGTGGCCTTCGTCGGGTTTGTCATCCACCAGCTCTTCTTCGCCGGGCCGAAGCTCCCGAAGCTCCCTATTCTCGGTGCCAAACACGGAGACTGGTTCCCCTTTTACCAGGCGACATGGAGGAATACGCTCAACTTCAAAGCCGCCGTACTGGAGGCCGATACCAAATACCGGGACCAGGCCGTTCTGATGCCCGTAGTTATGGCTTCCAACATGGTCTTGCTGCCCCGCTCCGAGACCCAGTTTGTCACCGACCAGCCCGATAGCGTCCTCGACATGCACACACAGGCCATCGACTCTCTGCAAATCGACTACACCACGACCGACCCATCCCTTGTCCACAACCCAGTACACCACAAGCTCATCACTACCACCCTAACCAACCAGATCGGCAACCTCGTCCCAGATGTCGCCGAGGAGACCGCGTGGGGCTTTGATCGACACTGGGGCAGCTCCACCGAGTATCACGAGGTGTGTGTCTACGACACCATGCGCCGGATTGTTGGCTCTGTCACAAACCGCGTCTTCGTCGGCAATCCCAAGTGCCGCGACCCGGCCCTGCTCACCGAAGGTATGGGCTATGCTCAGGACGTACCCCTAACCTCGACGCTGCTCCGCATGGTGTGGAAGCCTCTGCGCCCCCTCGTCGCCTTCTTCGCTACGCTACCTATCCACCTCCGCACCCGCCGCTTCGAGAAGATCCTCGCACCGGAGATCGAGAAGCGGTTGGCTGACTATGACGCCCGCCAACGCGACCCCGAGAAGAAGTCGAACGGTCCTGAGCCTAACGATTTCCTTCAGTGGTCCATCAAACAGGCTAAGGACAGCGGCGACCCGTACATGTGGAAGACGGCCACGCTGGCTGGGCGCATCCTGCTGCTCAACTTCGCCGCCATCCATACGTCCTCCTTCACCATCACCAGCGCCATCCTTGAGCTGGCCGCGACTAAGCAAGAGTACATCGACGAGCTCCGAACTGAGATTGAGGATGTGCTTGCCGAACACGGCGGCGAGTGGAACAAGCGGGCCTTGGCTAAGATGCAGAAACTCGATAGCGTCATGCGCGAGTCGGCACGGTTAAACTCGTTCGTCACCATCGGTCTAAGCCGCGCGGTGGTGGCCAAGGAGGGCATAACCACGCCTTCCGGCATCCGCATCCCCCGTGGCGTCACCGTCAACGTTCCGAGCTACCCGGTCTTCCAGGACAACCAGATCTACCCGGACGCCGAGCAGTTCAAGCCTTTCCGCTTCGCCGAGCAGCGTAGCGACGAAAGCGTCGAATACGTGAAGCGCGCCGCCAAGGCCTTTGCCACCACCAGCACTGACTACCTCGCCTTTGGTCACGGCCGCAACGCCTGCCCGGGTCGTTTCTTTGCCGCCAACGAGCTCAAGCTCATGCTAGCGCACCTCGTCCTCCATTACGACATTCGGCTTGGCGGGGACAGGCCGCGTAACTCGTGGTTCGGCCTAAACAGAATACCGCCTCTTGAAGCTACCATCCAGATCAAGAAGAGGACCGTGAAGGCGTGAGCGTTTGGGGGGGATTGGCCCCACTGAGATGAACTTGAGCGGAAGAACATCGAGAGCCGGGAGGCAAGATGTTCCACCGAGATGACTGGGCACGAATGGAGCAGAACGGCATTGGCATGATGTATTTAATGATACCTTCTCTTCAATTTGTTTTGGATAGAACCGGTCGGAGGGCGGCACTTTTTGGACCAATAATTTGGAACTGTTTTCACTTGAACTTAGTCTCGTCAAAAATACCGCTCAGATGGCGTTAAGTACCTTTGGTAGGTAGTTAAGTGTCAAGTTCACGACATGTGACCTGCCTTGCATTCATGGTTTCAGGGGCCAGGTCCCAACCTGCATGTCTGAGATTCCAGCCGATGGGCTGTTGCAAACCACTCAGCCACTAACTTACACATCCAACGCCGATTGCGCCAATTGAAGGTGTTTGTCAATCCCAGCATCGGGTGTCGAGCACAGGAAAAGTTGCATCAAGGTAATAAACAAATGTATAATTAGCCCGTTTTGTTGAACAGCTCACCGAAGACACCAGATCACAGAAGACACCAACGCCTTGCGGCGGCTTACTGCGTTACAGTAGTACTCTCGACGAAACCCAGCTCTGAAGAAAATGAACGTCCTTCCGACTCGGGCCGAGGCCAAGTCGTCTTGAACCGTCAACTTGTCGAAATACCGAGCCGCCATCGGCTGCTATCGGAGTTGTCTGCGCGTCGTTTCTGGATCGTTGAGGCAAATACACCGATCAAGGTTGCGAACCCAGCGTCCCGGTTTGCCCCGGCGGGCAACACAGCGGCGTGGATGCACCTCCGAGACCCACACGCAAAAACGCCGCCAAGTTCTGTTACTGCGTGCTATGTTTTTGTATGCTCCCTACGCTCGAAATTGCTGCTCATGATTTTGCGATAGTTACTTCGTCCAGTAAACCGGCTCGCGACGGAGCAGAAGGTCATCAAAGATGAAATAACAAAGAGGGTGCCGTTTTATCGCAACAGTGGAGCTGATAACCCTTACACTAGTTAAGTGACTAACGTTTAATAACGTTATATGACGCGCCAGCGTGTCTCGGACCAAAGTTGAGGTGGGATATTTTTGCTCCACCCCACGCGCCCAACCAGCGGACCCCCGCGACACCAGGATGGGAGCTGTGGTCTGTGGAGCTGTATCTTGACGACCCCGCATCACTTATCCCACCATGCCCACGACCTGACTGTTGCCCACCCCTCCAATTCCTCAGCCCCTCCAAGGGAAATCAGAGCTGCGTCATACAAATCCCGCAACCGGGCCACGGCGGATCGTTTGTGCGAGACAAAAAAAGCCGTGTTTTCCCTTCTGGTTTTTGGCCGAAGTGTAACTAGTGAAAAAGCTTCCCACTCAGCCTATCCTCTTCCCTCCCTGTTTAAATCCCCCCCCAACGACGACCCGCCCCGCCATTACAACCCGCGCAAATAGGCATAAGCCCAACGTCCATTGAACCAACAACAGATCTTTCAAGATGGGTCTCCTTGACGTATGCACAGCCCAACCGCCGCTCGCCCAATGTGAATTTTACATCATTTGACTAACCAACCGGCTGGACTTGGTGCAGGAAGTCAAACTACCCGTCGGTGTCATCTATGGTGCGAATTTGCTCGGCCGCCGAGATCGGAGAAATTGGAATTGACCGTAGAATAGGCGACGATGTGTTGAAGCTCTTTACCTACGCCCGCGAGAAGGGATTCGCCATCCCGGCCGTCAACGTCACTTCTTCCAGCACCGTCGTCGGTGCTCTCGAAGCCGCCCGCGATGCCAAGGCTCCCATCATGTACGCATCTTTCCCAAACTCCTCCGACCCGTACCGGATGTCCGAACAAGCTGTTGACTCTTATGGCGGGACTTAGTTTGCAGACCAGCCAAGGCGGCGCCGCCTACTTCGCCGGCAAGGGCATCAAGAACAGCGCCGACAAGCAGGAGGCTTCTGTCGGCGGTGCCATCGCCGCTGCCCACTACATCCGTGCCGTCGCTCCTCTCTACGGCATTCCCGTCGTCCGTGCGTGAAATCGCCCTCCTCGCGGTTGTCTTTGCCCTCGGCTAGTTCTAACGCGCTGCACACATTAGTCCACACCGACCACTGCGCCAAGAAGCTCCTCCCTTGGCTCGATGGCATGATCGACGAGGACGAGAAGTTCTTCAAGCAGAACGGCGTCCCCCTGTTCTCTTCCCACATGATTGACCTGGTACGCTTTCTCTGTGACACACACATATCTTATTTTACCCCTGCGCCATCAATGACATACTAACCATAACAGTCCGGTACGTGATTCCGAGAATTCCGAGATCTACGAGCCGATCGCCTTCTCCCGGTAACCGCCCGTCGGTCTGTCCATTCGTCGCTAACATCACGATATAGAGGAACCTGTCCAGGAAAACATCGATACCTGCGTCTCCTATCTCAAGCGCATGGCTCCCATGAAGCAGTGGCTAGAGATGGAAATCGGCATCACCGTAGGTGGAGCAGATTGCCTCTGTTTTGCACGCCTCAATGGTCGCTAATAAATCTAATAGGGTGGTGAGGAAGACGGTGTTGACAACAGCGGCGTAAGTTGCAGCAGATGGACGTGATGGGGCTTGGTTGCGATCTCATACTCATACTTCATGTCAGGTCGACAATGCCTCGCTCTACACCCAGTAAGTAGCAGCCGCCCAGGTTCATACGAAGTATGGTGCAAGAGCCCTAAACTAACAATTCAAACCAGGCCTGAGGATATCTGGCAAATGTGCGTCGCTTCGCCTTTCCCTGCCCCCTAACACTAGCATTTACTGACCTATCCCACAGCGAACAAGCTTTCCGCCCGATCTCCAAGTACTTCTCGATTGCTGCAGGTTTCGGGTGAGTCCCATCCAGATTTTCCACCACAAGGTTCGCCGCCTGTATCCCTCACGACTGACTGCCTGGCAGCAACGTCCACGGTGTCTACGCCCCCGGTAACGTCCGTCTGCACCCCGAGCTTCTCGGCAAGCACCAGGAGTATGTCTCGAAGCAGCTAGGCGGCACCGACAAGAAGCCAGGTTAGCCTATTCCTACCCACCGCTAACGGGGTGTATGTGGTGACTGACATCCACCGTCCAGTCTTCTTTGTCTTCCACGGCGGTTCCGGTTCCAGCAAGCAGGAGTACCTTGACGCCATTGGTGTAAGTGTCATTATACCATGAAAGCTAAGGGTATAATATTTCCCGGTCCTAACCTTCCTGTTAGCACGGTGTTATCAAGGTCAACGTCGACACTGACCTGCAGTGGGCGTATCTGACCGGTATCCGGTGAGTACTCACTTCAACCCCTGCACGAGGCAATCTCCATGTGTGCTGACAACAGACTAGTGACTACGTTACCAAGAACATTGACTACCTCAGGACCCAGGTCGGCAACCCCGAGGGTGCCGATAAGCCCAACAAGAAGAAGTACGACCCGAGAGTACGTATCTGCCTCGTGCCCTCATCGTGATCCGCTTAATTCGATGGCTCTCTAACACGTCTGTAGGTCTGGGTTCGTGAGGGTGAGAAGACCATGTCGGCTCGTGTCAACGAATGCCTCCAGGACTTCAAGACTGCCGGCACAGTCTAAAACCGAGATCTTGTTCACGGGAGAGCTATCCCAGGCAGAATGTGGGCGACATGTGCCATCTCGGGCTTTCAGACCGACTAAGTGTGGGCATCGCCGAGGGTTCCGTGTGGCGACATAGTCAAATGTTGGTTGGGTAGCTCAAGGCTACGGACATCACACCAAAAGAGAAAAACGTCAAATTCGGCCAATTAAATCCTCCCCTGAAGAGGGTCTGTGACATGTGGTTCATTTCATTTAGTTGCGCTAACAGTCATTGGGCTAGATCTACAAAATATATATAACGTGCAGTCAAAAATCACATGAGATCAGGTAGCAATATCAACTTCTCTCGCATCCTACCCGCTCTCCATGCCCTTGCTAGCTTCGTGTCATATCACAGGCCTCACGCCGTCTTCGTCTTATTCGCCACAGCTTCCTCCCATGCCGCAGCGATCGCACCCCAGTACTGCTCCGGATGTGCGCGCATATGGCCAACATGCGGCGTCCCCTCAAACATCTCGGTCGTCACATTCCAGCCCTTCTGTCTCGCATCCGCCGCGTGCTCCTCAATGTCCTCCCACCCAATGATATCATCCGCCTGCGAGTACAAGTACAGCCGTTTCGCAGTCCGGTCAGACAGCGCGGGATCGTTGACCGCGCGCGTGCTGAACCCGGCCGCGGAGGTTGTGCCGAGGACCCAGCCCAGCCCGTGGAGACAGCCGAGGAAGAGGACCGCGAGGAGCTGGATGAGGGCGAAGAGCGGACCAGTGCCGGGCTTGGAGCCGAACCAGCGTGGGGTGGCGCCGAGGGCCATCGCGCGCGACCAGCGGCCGATGTTGGGTATGAAGTGCGTACTCCCCGGGGTGGAATCGCATACGAGCAGGTGGTGGGGGAAGACGGAGGAGGAGGCCCCGTTGGCGTGTGCCGCGTATGCGTGAAGAGTGGCGGCACAGTTGATGCCGCCGGTGTTGGACATGACGTGGAGGAGGACTCGTTCGCTAGGGGCGATAGGCCCGGTGGTGGTAGTGGTGGTGTTGTTCTTCCCGTTGTTGCTCAAGAGGAGTCCTGGGTCAATAGCTTCGATAACGGGGACCATAGTCCGCGAACGGGCTTCCAGGGTTTGGTACAGGGCCTTGAGGATGGGCGAGAAAATAAGCACGATCTTGGAGTGCGGGTACAACTGGCAGTAGCCATCAATGTACTTGGCCACGTGCCGCGGGCGAGCATCACCCCAGCCGTAGATCACGATGGCGGTCGGATGTCGGGGGTCCTGCGTGCTAGGCTGGCCCTCTTGTACATAAACCTGGTCGCTAAGCTTCTTGAAGCCGAGTGTGTAAGACTCGGCCTTTACGGCCGTCTTGTTCGACATAACGGCGATGGGGGGAGGGGAAAGCTCGGAACAGCTAGATTTGATGCCTTGCGTCCCAGAGGGCCTCGCTCCCAAAGTAAACGGGTAGGACTGATTTATGCTGCTAACCACGAGGTGGTTCAGCGTCCGAATATCCTCTCAACACTACAGCTCCGGAATTATCTCCTCGTAGGAGGATTTTGTTGAAAAAAACCTTCACCCCTGACCCCTGGATTCGTTGGCCCCTGAAAGTCTACCCTGCTGACAGATACCACCCTCCCCAGCCCTATAGGATGAGTCTCGCTCGAATCTCGACTCCAGGCCCCACTGGCCCCGGCTGCAACGGCCGGAACACCCACTGCGTACGAAGTACGAGGTAACCTGTCATTACCGTGTATCTCTCGTTATGGGGCCAAGAGACAGACAGCAACGAACGGAGCGATTTCTGGTGGTTTTAATACCAAATCACAATTGCGCTCACAGCCCGAAACACCTAGCTATTGAAAGCGTTGGGGAGGCGCATCAAACGGCCCGACAATTGCAGACTGCAAGTTGTCGTCATCTCCGGGCATGGCGGACCCACGGCTAGCCGAGGCTGCTTACACAAGCGGGCCTAGGGGAGGGACTTTCAACTCAGGTAGGTACTTCGTACTCCGTACTGCATGTTAACGTTGGCCTTTAAGCGAGCTTTCAGGATGTCAGGAAGGCAATTGAATCTGTACTGACGGTAATTGTTTCAGATTTCCCCATACCACCGTGCTTCTTGCTGCCCATTTACTTCGTATTTTGTTTCCAGCTATAGACGCTCACAGCGATTGACGTTGACATTAACATTCATGCCGCTGCGGGTGAAGCAACACCCCTGTCTCTCAATTCCAGGGCATACAGAAGAGCCGAGGTTGTTTCCCACAACCCAGCAGCGGCTGATCGGGTTTCGCCCTGTGATTTCTCAACCAGACACCAATGACACCGCCTTTTCGAACCATTTACCGTGACCTGTAAAGAAGGCGAGAGAGCCGGGTGTCAAAAAAGGCGAACCGTCGTCAAACGAACACCCTCTAGTATCGGCATATTGACTTATCGTCCAACATGGCCGACGCGAGTGTTGTCTCGTTTTCAAAGGCGACAGAAGTCCAGCGCCACGGCTCGCATACATACGGCGTCAATCTTGTAGACTCATTCTGCATTGGGACCGGTGCGTTGAACGACTGAACCCTGGGAGAGCTCTGCTAATTTCATTGATAAATCTTGGCTTTGCAGTCCCCAATGGTGGCTATGTCACCAGCTGCATCTTAAGAGCGGCGGCTCTGCACCTCGCCGAATCGGGCCAAAAGGACGTGTTGAACGCCCACGTCCAGTTCCTCAACCGCACCGAGATTGGGCCCGCGGTGATAATAATTGAGGACGTCAAGCTCGGCCGCCAGCTCTCCACGTTGCACGCCACGCTCTACCAGCACGCACTCTTACCAGAGGCGCCCTGGATCACTCAAGGGTCAACACGCAAAGAGGTCGCTGTCTACTTGACCATGTCCGATCTAAGTAAGGCCAAGGGTGTCTCTCTACCTACTTCCTTCCACAACAGCTTACAGGAATCCCTCCCGCCACGGCCGGACTTCGCCGCGCTAAAAGAAGACCGTGACTCCAACTGGGTCCGGCACCGGTTCCCCGGCGGCAGCCCGCTGAGCTACGCCCGATGCCTGCAAAACACAGTCTACCACGACCCTCGCGGCGGACAGCCCAATACGGCAGTTCTGTACAAATGGGTGCGTCTCGCCTCCGGGGAGAAGTTCACGGCGGCCTCATTGGGCTTTGTCTCGGACTGCTGGCCGTACGTGGTCGAGGCCCAGAGGCCGAGCCGAAAGGAAGCGGAGGAGCGGGAGCGCCGGGGCGAGACCCTCGCATTTCGGCCTGGCACCATGTTTTGGTACCCTACCGTGGTGTTGAATATTGAGCTGAAAAAGACGCTGCCCGAGGAAGGGCTAGAATGGCTGCAGATGCGGGTTCAGTCCAAACAAATCAAGGACGGCCGGTTCGATCTCGAGGTCATTCTGCTAGACGAGCACGGCGATTTGGTCGCCCTCAGCAATCATGTCAATTTGATACTCGGAAGCGAGAGAAATACAGCCGAGAGGACCAAGGCCGGTGCTTCGGGGCCATCGAGCCACATCTGAGCCACAGGCCACAGTTGAGGGACGCGCTAGGCTCACCCAGCTGTTTCATTCGGGAAGGTTTCGTTTCGTTTCCTGGCCAGCAACGCGTGCTATTATCAATTAATTAATCACCTAATTACCGACCTCTATTGCTGGGCTCTCAATGAAAGATCCAGGCTGAGCATGGGGCACCCGTTGCGGGTCTGCACGGGACGACTTCCTCCAGGTTGCTGCTTCCCTTCTCCCCCCCCCCCGGTGAAAACCTCGACCTGGTACCTTCCCACCCGGACCAGTTGGTTCAGGTTGCGCTGTCTGGTCGCGCCGTCCGGCCTCTGAATTGGTCTCAAGTCCCCGTCAACTTCCAAACAAACCAGCAGTTGGGGCGGATTCAAACGAGCCCAAAAAGTCCGGCCGTTTGCCGGACCCGACTTCCGGGCCAGATTGCCAACACGCCGTGCACGCCCGGCCCATCAACCATTCGCCCATCGTTGAACGGTTGAACATCTCGTGGAAACCCTTTTTTGGGCAGCCCCGCGCCAACCGGGCCCTCGTCAAACCCCGCCGACCTGGCCCTCTCTCAAGTCGCGAAGTTCCGCTTGGCTGGCATCCCGGTACGAAGTATCCGTAGCGGAGTGTAATCGGTGCTTCCTGGACGTGTCTTTGGCTTGGGCGCAGGGGACAGACAGACGCAGCAGTTTCGCGTTCGCCTCAGACATTTTGGTCTCCCCAGCTGGCTGCCACGAAACCCCCCCGGGCTGGCAGTCCAAGTGCCCAATGGGATGTCGCCGCGCTTACCGCCCTGTCACAGGAATGACTCGACCACGGTGTGGCTCCACCTTGATGCGATGCGAGATGCCGAGAAACGACAAGGAGTAATAAACAACGAGACAACTGTCGGTGATGCCCCGCCACGTCACGTACAAGCGCCCAAACCCTCACTTGGCCTCCGCCAGGTGGCCACGGTCTGGAAACCTCTTGGACCCGCCTCGGGCAGTATCGTCGGGCGCCCAGCTATCACAGGGCGACAGTCTTCTCCAGATTCCCCAGGACGTGGCCATAGATCGATTGGATGGCGCGCATATTCCGAAGTAATCGATTGGATTTCCGTCCTTCTGCAACCCCTGAGTACCCCGGTCAATACTTGCTGCATGGCCGTGACAAGAAACAACGGCAATGTGATCTCGCTGCCACGGCGGCCGCGCTACCAGCGGCTTGGGCACGAAGCAACGATGGTGTTCGACGCCCTCAGAGTCGAAAGTGAGGTTAAATAGAGGGACTTTCTCCCCAACCCGATCCCCTTCCTCTCCTCTCATCATCGCAATCAACAAGGCAACAACCCTCACTATCAAAGCAGCAAACAGCAGTCAGACGCAACCTTCCAACTTCCCGACCTAATCACACAGCCACCGCCAATATGATTAACGCTCATGAATTGGTAAGTCATTAAATCCCACCGGATTCCCCCGATGGGCCTCGGCCACCCGAGTTGGACCGACTGCTAACACCTGGGAACTAGAGACAGAGCTGGTCGGTCGACAACAAGTTGGTCTTAGCAGACGGCACAGCCGACAATTGCGCCAACAAGAAAAAATACTACACGGTCGAGAACTTCGAGCGCGAGTTCAAATTCGAGAAATGCAAAAGCATCACGTTCTACGAGGGCCAGGAAATCGGAGACAAGTTTCTCATGTCAGCGACGGGCTCCGGCCACATAGCCGTGCCGGCCGGCGTCCTGCTCGTAGTGGAGGGTGGCAAGGCCAGGTGCGACTCCGCTGGCTCAATCTTCGGCGGCGGGGGTATCCGCGCTCCGCCCCCGAGCCGCGTCTCGGACTATGCCCCCTCTTCGGCCGACTCCGGCTATAGCGGTAGCTACGCGGGTGGCAACTCTCACCCTAGCCCGCCTCGCGATAGGACCACCTTCAACCGTGCTCCTGGCTCCACCGTCAGTATTAGCAACTGCAGCATCGCTCCCAGCGATAGCGCCAGCAACGTCGGCCGCCGCTGACCTAGCCGCGACTGTTAATCAAGGTCGCCCACCCAAGTCCTCCGCGGATGGGGTCGGATGGGGTCAGATGTGGTCCAGAGCAGTTGTGAGGCCCTTGGGAAAGGGGCATTTCAATCGACCAGCACGGCCTCGTTCAACTTAACTAAAGCCGGGAATCTACTTCAAGGGCCGAGCCCTTTTGACCCAGCTGCAGTAGAGCTGTGGTCGAACTGGGGGAGAACTCGCTGATTGCGCTGGATCCACATTTTCTTTTCCCTCCCTTTCCTTTTGCGAGGACATGGCAGGTTCCAAGACAACGCATAGGGGTGGCTCGGAGTTAGGATTTGGGTTTTCTTTGGGTTTCTGCTTGGGGACTGCATTTTACTTGGTTTGGTGACGGTTTAGCATGACAGGGGCTGCATAATGGGCACTGGGAACTGGGAACGGGTCTTGAGTTTGTTTGTTTTTTCTCACGCTTTCTTTTTTTCAAACTACAAACTACCATATGAGACAGATTGCACCAAATCAACAATTTCTTCATTAAAATGACTTCGAAAGCCTCCTACAGCGCAGTCCGAAGTGACTTAGAATGCCCCTGGTACCTTTCGGCTAGCCTGAAGTATGAGTGACATAGCCCCATAGCCTGCCGCGCTGATAATACCGAACAACCCCTGGTCAATCCCCCTTTCCCGTCTTCCCTGTAGGGCATGTTTTGTCGTTCCCTCTAGAAAGAGTGGTTGTTGGCTCAGCAAGGCGTGTTCGGCGCGACATGTTACGACCGTAGGCCCAGCTAGAGCTTTCAAGAGGATCACATCCAAGGTGTGGCATTAACGCTGCCTGTTTCTACAGCGGACGAGATGCGAGCTACTGATTGTTTACTTCTCACAATAATTTATGGGGTCAACGCTAGGTTCAGCTGGCTTTATTGGATTTAAATACGGCAGCCTCGTGGTATAGTTATTGACGAATATTTTACTTGGCCCCGCAAGATCGTATAGGTCATTCAAGCATTTCAAAAGACTCCAAGTAGGCATACCGTCTATGAGGTTACCGAGGGTGTGTCTACAGGCATTCTTGACAAGTCCCTTCTGAATGAGTACAAAAATGAGTCAAGATGATGGTAATGATGAGCCATAGTGCAATATCTAATTATCACAACGAATCTCACCTCGGATGATAGGGCTCGGTCTTCAATGTTATGAGCTTTTGAGCTATTTACAAGAGGAATACTTTTCGTTTTCATTTTAGTTTCCCAAACGTACTTGTCCTAGACCGCGTAATCAATCAAGCACGTCATAAATAATACGCTATTTAATAATATATCTGACAGTCGCTAATTACAGTAGCCGGCGGGATGATACCAAAATTAGTACCGTTCTTGATTAATTGGTGGTTCCTTTTTCACAAACGATAAGATCGTTAGGACTCCTTCCCGAAAGCCCATCAACGCTTCACTCTCAAACGCCGCTTGGCGCCTCTCTCAAGATCCTCTTCATTGTGTCGTGGTCAAAAATTCACATTTTGGGTTCTACTGTAAAGTTCATAGAGGCAGGGAACATGAGGACTCCAAAACCCCTGGCGTCGGCTGATTATTCTACCCGGCGCCGGCGATGAAACCGGGTGAGTTTAGCCGGAGGGCCACGCGGTTGGACGCACGCCCCCACTAAACGAAGTCGCTACAGAAAAGTACAAACCCTCGGATCTCAAACAAAAAGTGAAGCCCTCCTAAACGGGGAGTGGGTCTGATTGACACGGGTATGTACATCCTCTAGCTTGCAAGACAAGTAGGTAGGTTTAGTGTAATCCCGACCTCATCCACTGACCCTCCTACCATCCCCCTAATATTTGCTTATCGTTGACAAACAGAAGAATTGACAGGATGTGCGGGAGCCTTTTGCCCCCCCAGAGACCAAGGCGTTGCCAAGCACGGCCTGTGAGATCGACTCCACTTTGAATCCAACCTTACCCAGCAGAAATGTCCTTGCAGCATTTTGAAAGTTCCTCGTCTCGGTCTCGGTCCCTAGAGGTATCCGCGCGGTGAGACACAGCATCCATAGCAAGGACAATTCAGGTCGGCAGGCCACCTAAACTCTCCTCGGCTGTGCTGGGGCTTTGATATCACTACTTTTTACCGTTTATTTATTTATTGGACCCTAGTATTGGCAATCCCGAAGGCCGCTCCGCCCATTCATGTCGTTGGCTCAAGAGGTGACTTCGAAGCAACAGCCACAATGATCGCGAACCTCGTGCTCCTAGCCCTGCCGCTCGTGATCGGCTACCTTGCCACGACAATATGGCACCGTCGATTCAAACAGTACGCCGCTTTCCCCCAGCTGAAGCCGTCCCTGCTCTGGGGCCACATGAAAGCCATCCATGAGTTCACGCTCAGAGAGCGCCCGAAAATTCATTTTGGTAGGCCTAATCGAAGCCAAATTCAACCCGTTGTTTAAGACAGCTAGTTGACTGTCAATCTCGTCTCCGCCTCACCAGATCCCATATTCGCCAGCATGGCAAAGGAGCTGGGCAACCCGCCGCTCATGTTTTTTGATCTGCGTCCTGTCAATTACCCCATGGTCATTGTGAATAGCCATCAGGTGGCCGAACAAATCTCAAGAGCCAGCAAGCAGTTTGCATGGAGCACGCCCAAGTCCCCCACCATGGACGCTCTGCTGCGCGTGATCGGTCGCGAGTCAATCCTCACCAGACAGGTAGGCGTGTACAAGATCCTTTCAAGATACTGTCCCGGCAGGGCCGAATTCCATGTACTAACTGCGACTGTTTTCTCCTCCCCCCCCTCGGTTTAGGGAGAGGATTGGAAGCAGGTTCGTAAGCGGTTCAACCCTGGGTTCGCCCCCCAGCACCTCATGTCGCTTTTGCCCTGTATCCTGGACAAGACGGAGATCTTTGTGGACCACCTTAACCGCTATGCCGATTCGAACGAAGAATTCCCACTCCTCGAGTTCACCATCAACCTCACGTTCGACATTATTGGTGCCATCACCATGGGTGTGGACTTCGACGCGCAGCATTCCGAGTCGTCCGAGCAAGGGGAATTCATTCAGATATATGACAGGCTTATCCGGTTGTACGGCTTGGGCGATGGCCAGTTGCCCTGGTGGATGTACCCCCGCCGGGAGTGGCGCAAGTACGTTCTGAGCAAGCAGATTGATCAGCTCCTCGAGTCCATAATCCAGGACAAGCACGCCGAGCATCAGAACCAGCAGGTCCAACAGACTGGCAAGAACAAACCCCGCGATGTTCTCAGCCTGAGCCTACAGGGCAACACCGAGCTGAGCAAGGGGCTACTATCGGATACGCGCGACCAGATCAAGACGTTCCTTTTTGCGGGCCACGATACCACGGGCATCTTGCTAGCCTGGACCTTTTATGAGCTGTCCCGCTCTCCCCACGTGCTTAAAGGGGTTCGCGACGAGCTTGACCGTCTTTTAGGGCCGGACTCGGACCCAGCGGCCGTGCGGGCGAAACTGACGGGGCCCGGCGCGGACGAGTTGGTTAACTCGATGGTCTACACGACAGCCGTGATCAAGGAAGTGCTCCGGGTTTACCCGCCCGCGGGCACGGCGCGGATGGCTCGCCCTGGCACCGGGTTCAACGTGCAGACGTCCGACGGACAGACGTTTTGCCTCGACGGCGTCATCATCTACAACTGTGCGACTATCATCCAGCGGGACCGCACCGTATATGGGGACACGGCGGACGACTTTGTCCCAGAGCGTTGGCTGGGTGACAGTTCGGGGATCATGAGCGCAGGCGCGGAGGAAGATGCGGAGAAGAGAAACGCAGCCGGCCGCAAGATTCCGCCCGGAGCGTGGCGCGCTTTCGAGCGGGGGCCGCGCAACTGCATCGGGCAGGATCTGGCGACCATCGAGGCCCGGGTCATCGTGGCGGTCGTGGCGCGGCGGTACGATTTCGTCAAGGTTGGGCTCGGTGAGCTTGATCTAGATGGAAAGGGACAGCCGACGCTCAACGATAAGGGACAGTACCGGGTCAAGTCAGAGATGTACAACGTGAGCGCGATCCCCCTTGTTTGACTGTTTGGTGCAGAAATGATACTGACAGAGACACTTGTTTAGACTACGCAGGTGACGGCCAAGCCAGTGGATGCGATGAGAATGAGGGTGAGGAGACGTGTATGATGTGATGCAGCTGGGTAAGTATGAGAAATACATGGGATTGATTAAGCTTCGAGTTGGGGTCGTTCGCGCCGTTTGTGTCACTTGTTTTCAGAAGGATTATTATTGTGTGTGAGATTTAAGGTGACGAAGATCTTGAATCCGAGACACAATGACTTGCTTACCCTGTGCAGCAACGTTAATTACACGAGGGACAAACAAACAAAATATTATACTAAGTGGTTGGCCGGCGACGTGAACGGACACAGGATAATGACAGCGGGGATCTGGGAACCGATGCTATAACGTTCACTACCAGACACCAAGCAGGCCTGCTAACAAGTCTGATGGTCCTCAAGTGATGGCCCCGTGTCATGTCTCAGTTGGTTCGGGTTGACCCGCCTGTTTTGTTTTATTTTCAACGTTGATGTTAACGTTAACGTGATCCTCATTTCTGTCTCAGAGCGGGAGCATGGCATTGGTGAGTTTATTACGGATAGAGTGAGTGGATGAGTCCCTGTAAGGCAAGGGCGCGGGGTTGCATCCTTGAGACCCCACTCCCCCACGATCAAGCAATTCTCTCGAGTTCCCGTGTCTCCCTCTTGAGTCTTCGGTCTCTTCCTTCCCCTCTCTCACTCATGTTCCCCACTCCAACCGACCTTCTGGATCGCCAGTAGGTAACCTTCCTTCCCAGCTGACTGCAACCCCCGGGGCCCAGAATGTCGGTCGTCCGTCTTTGAGCGTTCCCGACGGCCGGCTAGCCCCACTGCTGATCCCGGCCTGCTGTTGGCCGCGGTCTCGAATTGGAAGAGCACATGAGGCACTGGAAAAATCGACCGCAGGTCGAGTCGTTGTGGTGGACAAGCGCGGCACGAATTCTTGTTCCCGCTCTCACGCGACGCTCCTGGGCAGCTCCCATTCTCACTCACTCACCCCCCCACGGACGCCGCGACACCCCTGGTTTGCGCCCGCTTTCCTTGCAGCCCACCGTTGCAGATCGGATACACGCCTGACGAACCCGGCCTCCCCCCCCGTTCCCCCTTTTCTCCACGACTTCCCTTTCCGTTCGCCTCCATTGCGCAGGTGCGCCAATATGGAAAAGGGATTAGAAGAAAAGAACGCGGCCGTACTATCTCGGTTCGCCCAATTCCGACTCCTTGGTACCGAGTCTGATCCAACGGTTCATGGTTCCCAGAAGCCGGGGGCGAGCCCAGATGACCCCCCGCAGTCTGTCTCAGTGACCGTGACCGAGCTGCCTTCGCCGCCCCTTGCTTCGCCTTTGCCGCCCGGAGAATCCGGACCTGCTGGCCCCGACGTGGTTTCCGAATCGCACCTCGAGCCGGGAGAACCTGCGAAAGAGGGACCGTCGATGTTTCACTATTTTCCGCTACTTCCGGCCGAGCTGCGGCTTGCGATATGGTGAGCAGCCGTACTTCTAGTTCGTCCCCGTTTCAGGGTACTGAACCCGGGCCGAGCCGGGTCGGGTTGAGGCCCTTCTCCGTGGGGCCCTCCCACTCTCCGCTCCGAGCGCAATGCCCTCGAGAGGAGCAGAGAGGAGCTCAACGAGAAAAGGATGATGAAGGGGCTAAAAAAGGGGGCCGCATCGCTGGGAGACTAACATGTCTGGCTGTAGGCACATGTCCTTCCTCCCCCGGACGGTGGAGTTGCACACTCGGCGCGCCCACTATGCGGATGGCGAGCAGGTGGGCAGCACGCCCCGGTGGCAGTCACACTCCCGCAATCCGGCCGCGCTGTCCGTCAATGCCGAGGCCCGTGCCGCCGCTCTCGAGCGCTACACCGTCGCCTTGCCGCTCTTCGCCCTGCCCGCGCGTGCGCTAACCTCGGAGCGGCCGGGCAACCTGCTCCAGGACAGCGACCGTGTGTTGTACCTTGACCTCAAGCAGGACACGGTCATGGTGCTGGGCGACCTGCACTACACACGCCTGACGAAGCTGCTGGAGTGGTTCCGTAAGATGGACCCCACCGGTGGAAAGGGGCTCCGGCGGTTGGCCATGAGCATGTCCATCTGGGACCACGCGGTCGGTGCCGCCACCCTCAAGGAGTTTGGGCGCACCGTGTTTGCCAATATCGATGAGTTCATTCTGTTCCTGCACCCGGGGCGCATGATGCCACCGGACGGCATAGCCGGGCCTTGCGTTCTTGTCGAGGCGGATTTGAATACCGACTCGTACCGGCGCTTCTTGATCGGGCGGGGGAGACAGTTCCGAGTAGGTGATGGCTGGCTAGTCGTCGGGCGAAAGCCAATGGTGGTGGCGGATATTTATTTTGTAGACGGGTGGTAGATCATGTCATGTATGTTTGGCTAGTCTCAGGTCTGGAGAAAAGGGGGGGAGCGAGGCCGGGACCGATTTGGGATACTTCGAGCCCTCGAGCTTGTTTTTTTGTTTTTGTCGACTCTGTTCTGCTGGCGTTGGAATCTGGGTTTTTTGTCATGTCCCATCCGGTGTACCTGTTTAATCCTAGGAAGCTTCCTGGAGATGGATTTGTTAATATACGGCTCAATTTCATCCTACAAACTATTATTAGGGGGGGAAGGAGGGGTGGGAGGGTTGTGGGTATGACAGAAAATGCAAAAAAACATCTGCGGCCGTCGGTGAGCTTCCGCTCTTTTGAACCCGCCGGGACCGGTACAACGGAAACGCAGTGTAGGGGCAAGATACCGGGCCAGTCCCTCTATTCGCCTTGGTATAATAGTACAGAAAAGTACAGGTTGTTTCGTCTCTATAATACACCGCGACCGCGTCCGGTCTCATGGCTCACGCTCCCACCCTCCGGAGGATCTTCTCCCGTACCACCTGCTGAGCCACTTCAGCACCATGTTGTAAAGAGATCGCGCCGACGATGGCGAATATGGCGGTGTTCAGCACAACCTTGATACCAGAGGTCTCAAGGTCTTCGGGCTAAAGGGGGTAAGGCACGTTAGCTTCGGGCGCAAAAGAGCAAGCTGCAAGAAGTCATGAGGCCCTCTCGCTGATTTCCATCTCCATCTCCCTGAGCTCACGTACCATTTTTGGCTTCCACCGTATTACCTCCGGTAACCCAATGTCCATTGCTAGCTTGGACAGCTTATCTTTTGAAACCGTCGTCCTCGGCTGCTTCGAAACGAGCTTATCGACGTTCTCGAGAGATGGGTGTTGGAAGGGCACGCGGCCGAAGGGATCGGGAGACGGGGTTTCTTGCGCCGCATTTGGTGAGACCATGATGTGGCGAGTAGCCTCGAAAGATATAATCAACCGTCCTGAGAAGATACAGAGCCCCAGTTAGTGTGTCTGCCCATTCCCTTGAACCCCTCCTCCCCTCTCTTTCCTTCGCTTTCCTTGTCGAGCGCCTGATCGTACTCGTCGGTTGTGGATATGAACGTACCAAAATACGCCAGCCTTGTGTTGAACCCACGCCGCCCTTGATCGAAGCTCTTGTGTGTTACAGCCAGCCACTTCGTCTCGTCCGGCAGCATCCTGTGTCCCTTAGACCCTAGCAAGCGATTGTACATGACGTCCAGTTTTGCCGGGTCCTCGTTGTTATGCCAAATCGTGCGCCTGGGGTCCTTCACAATGTTGATGGAGAAACCGGGACCCTTCATGCGCTCCGGTGTGTATGACCAACGTGGCCGCCTTTCTTGCTCGACTGTCGTCTCGGTAGGTTCATTGTTGCGCGGGGCAGAGGTGGAGAGCTGCCGCGCCGGTGGCCCGAGCCGCCGGGCGACCGACCTAGCGGGGGTCTCGCATTGCCGTAATGCCCTGAAGGTGGCCGACGCCGTGGATAGTGAGGAGTTGAGCGCCATTGATTTGTGGTTTCGTTATTTTGAGCTCAAAGTCGTCGAGGGCTGGCAAACATTCAGCAAATTCACATCTGCGTGCCCGTGGTGGGTCCTTTTTTTTTCAAGGCTTGGCAACTGGCCCGCCAGGTGCCATGCTGCCAACTCCCCCACACTTCCTTAACATTATCAATGTAACATACAACGTGTAACGTGTACGAACGTACACATACAGCGGACGGGCGTAATATTACCGCTGGCGCCTTAACAATTTTCGAGAAGGCTCAGCGAGAATTGACTTGCCGGCCACGAGCTCCCCAGCAGCTGCAAGCCCCACCAAATTCGCACCAAGCTCCAGGCTCACATGGTCTCTTAACGCGTTCACCCAACGCGTGTTCCTACAGCACCACCGACTCTTCACTCCCCCATCACCATCAATACACCGACAGGAGTTTTTTTTTCTTTTGCTATGTTATCTCCAACACCCCCAGCCCCAAACCCAAAATGTGGAATCGCCAGCGATACTGGTTCCACTAGCAACAGCTCGTTACGCGACAAGCTCGCGGCAGTCCTTCCTCGTGGCCACAAGTTCGGCATCCACCATGTCTCGACTCCCCCAGCGCGAACCGAACCACTTTGTATGGCCCCACCCGGACAACGGCCAGACAAAACGTATCGGGAAAGCCACTTTCTTGCTGTCTCAATCCATCCGCAAAATGACAACAACAACACCAACAACAACAAGGCTGTTGCGCAGTTGAAACGCGCTTCGCCCGGTGCCGACTGCAGCAAGGGTGAGGAAGGCCCAAAGAGTCGGGCATTGGTCTTCGCTGTCGAGGTCCTAATTTTTACCACGGCCTACCAAACCACCTTGTTCGTATCCAAGGCCGATTCCACCGGTTACCTCCATCTCCTCGGCCTCCCGCCTGGCGCACCACCCCCCATCCGCCAAGTACTCGCCACCTTCCTTGCATATCTCCTCGACCACCGACGACGCAACCATGTTCAATCCGTGGTCAACCTGTTTGCACGTGCGCAGGCACAATACCTATTCCCAGGCAGCGTTCGCAACAAGGGGAAGCATGTGCTGGATGATTGGGGCCTGGTTCGATGGTGGTGCCGGGTATTGAATCCGCTTATTGAGGAGTCAACCAAGAGGTCGTCGACGAGCAGCAGAGGCTACTTGCTTGTCCCCGGCCTGGAAGAATCGGAAATGCGAGCGTTCTTACCACGCACCCCAGGGAGCATGGCAAATTGGACCATCGGGCACCCTCTGGAGCGAATATCACACTACTCTCGTGATTCCGACTCGGTCCCGCCCCGATGTCTCATTCCCGGTTATCCGGACGATCCAAAATCACGGTTCCGTGACGAGCTCGACGAAGAAGTCTCCAGCAAGAAGCAGGGGGTCGAAGCGTGGAAGAGTGTCAAGTCGCTGGGGCAGTTCTGGGAGATGATGGCCTTCCGGCAGGAATGCTCCAGCGGGCGCCTAACAGGGTTCATCTGGCTTGTTTTCGACACCACTCCCAGGACCCCGCTCGCGACGCCCAACCCATCGGTCGACTCCCCTCTCCAGCGTACACCGGCGACCTTGTCCAGGCAACGCGCTGGTGTCTCCTCTACCACCTCCCGGCCAAGTTCACGCAAGCCAGGCGTCTCCCCGGTTGCCCTCCCATCGGTGGCGCCACCCCAAAACACCAAGAAGAAGTCAAAGAAGAAGTTGTCGGGTCCGATCATCCCGCGGACACCTAAAATTAAGACGCACGCAACCAGCCGCCTCATCAATCGCCCGAAGACGACAGCGTACTATTACTGGCCAACCGAGGGCCGCGGCGATCAAATAGTAGACGACACAGAGTACAAGCGGATCGTTGAGCTACTACTTCACTTGGACTTTTCAACGCTCGACAAGGCCATTGGGAGTTCTCGTCGGTGGCTCCACGAGATTGGCGCGGGGAGTAACGTGGGAGAAGGTATTGTGGGCAGGGCTGTTTTCCCACAGGTCCCAGGGGTGACCGGGACAGCTGCCCAGGCTTCCAGCGGAACAGTGACCAATTTGACAGGTTTGGTCAGAAGGAAAAACCCAGCAATACCAGCAGAAACGACCCCCAACCAGACACCAAACTCGAGAACAGAGGGGACGTCCACGCCGATAATTGAGCCCGCAGCAAAGGTAAATGTTCTCGGCACCAACTTGGTGCGAAAGCGAAAGAAGGTAGTTGAGGGCTAGGAAAGGAACGAGTCCTGCAGCAAGGCATAGCCCTGTCTTGTCTTGATTCCTAGGAGACTAGCAACCCTACCAGCCTTCAGGCAACCTTATACTGGCTTCCCACACTTTCCCATCGTATCTCGGGGAAATGTGCTGTGCCATCAGATGTCGTAGCTTTACATCATGACGTTGGCCATCACTCGGTTGTCCCCGCGTTACCGACGACTTATGCTGGGCCGGCTGGGTTTACGCTCGGCATTGAACCATATAATAATTAACATTTAACGTTTGTGAGCAATGTTCTAGGACCCGGCTATATACGCCGCCTTTTGGCGGCAGGCCCATCTTCCCCATATGATCCCTCTAAGATCTTCTGTGCCAACTCGTTGAGCTCCCCTCTCGCCCATGCCTGCGCCTCCCGCAGGATCTGTTTCTCTCCTCTCCTCACCCACACCGCCATCCCTTGCCGCCCTGTCGCCCGGTCGGTGCCTATGAGCCGGTCGTCATCCTCCAACGACGTAAGATACTGCCGCTCCCGGACTTGGAGAGCGTCGACGACGACCTGCAGGCACAGCTGCTTGCGCAAATCTTTGTCGTCCAGTGCCTGAGCCACCAATTCACCTCCTCCGGCCTTCTTAATGGCCTTGAGAAGGGTCTTGAACTGGTTGCTCAACTCTTCAGGTATGGCATGAAAGGCACTGTCCCCGCTCAACCGCCCTGTGGCATCGGGGTCTTCGTTGACGCGTTCAAAGACGAAGCTTTCTTCGAAATCCTCGTCCAACCGGACTCGTTGCTTCACGTTGTCCCAGTCATCTGCGGTGATAACACCACTGCCGCTGCCACTTTCAATACGCTCTTTCAGCCTTGCCTCGATGAGATCCCAAGAAACCTCCACCACATCGTAACGGCTATGCTTGGGCGTGACGTAGCCGTAACGACGGAGCAACTCGCCGTTGGGGAGCGGCCCGTAGTAGTTAAGGATCTCCTCGCCGGCCTTGATGTCTCGCAGCGTAGTGGCCGTGAGTGCGTCGTCGCCATGGTTGATGTGCGTGTTGAACTCGGCGTCCGCGTTGAGCATGTCGGCCATAGGCACCATGCCCAGCATGGTCCTTCCTTCGCGGTCCTCAACCCACTCGTCCCGGTCCTCGCCGTCGCCGTTGTCTCCGCTATTCTCTTCACTGTCGTCATTCTCAAGGTCGAAGGCGTATGCCATGATGGTGCTGCCCATACGGTGGGCGAGCTCCAGCAGCTGGGTGTCTGTAAGTTGGGGGGAACCGCTCGGGAAGAAGACGGGGCCGTGGGCGCGGATCACAGAGAGGATCTTGGTCCGAATCATCTCGTCGGCTTCCTCCTTGCCCACTCTCCCTCCAAGTGCGCTCGCCTGGAGCTCGGACAGCTCCGCCGGAGACCAAAACATGGGTGTGTCGAAGGCTGACGGCAATATGTCTAGGTAGGGCTTCCAGGGCGAGTCGCTGCCTCGGATATACTCGTAGATAAGGACCAGAATCAGGAGCGTCCAGGAGTCCTGCGATGAGGATGAACCCTCCCCCTCATCATCAGAGTCTCCATCGGCCCCGTCCAGGTCAAATACGCGGGGAATCTTGTCTCGCAGGGCCGATGTCGCAGAACAGATGATAGCATGCCGTGGAATGGTGAACAACACCGTGTCCGCTGCAATGTCGGCTGTGGCAACTACGCCGGCCGGTTAGCCACATTCATGTCATGCCAGCCTTTCCAGGGTTGACCTACTGATTCCTCGGCCCGCATGCCGCTGCCTCAAATCCTCTATCGAGACCAAGTCGGACCGGAACGTCGCACCAGTGAGGGCCTGGAACCAGGTTGCGAAGTTGTGAGTCCCGTTAGCGAAGGCGGGGGCTGGGTCACTATCAATCTCCATGTTTGTGACTCGGAATCGGTGGGCTCGGAATCATAAAATGCCGTTTGTTTGTCGTCGTCTCACAGGCGCGATGGGGCTCGGATGGGGCGGTCAACAAAGGGGTCTTGTTTTTTGTTTTACCTTTCTAATTCTTGAAAATCAAAACTTTTGAAATTTTCCTGTGCTGACAGGGGTGTGGTTCATGCATCATTGCGTCGGGAAAACCTGATAAGAGACCGCACGGCCCAGCAGCCTGCTCACATTGGGAGGGAGGACTCGAATATTTTGCGTGCCTCTCGAAACTTGCTTGATGGGCCTGCCTGTGCTAAAAAAAAAAAAATTACCTTAATATGGTGCGCGTAGTGTTAGCATGTTTGTTTGGTGGCGGAACTAATGAATACCAAGCCAGACGGACGATTAAACATCGGAGCTTGGCATGGCCATGAATGAACTGGGAAGGCCATCATCTAGGAAGCCCGGCGTTCTTTTTATGTTTCAATAACATATTTCCTCAAATTATACTAGTAATTAATTAGCATATCCGTGAGAACCAATTAATTACCACCCGAGCCGCTACAGGCGTGCCGCAGGGCAAGCGCTAATTCCATCAATACAGTGAAGCCCTTCTCATCACACTTGCCGTCGTTCAACCATCACCCGACATGAACCATACACAACTCCAATGCGCCGCTAACGAGAAGGCACACCCTGAAAGTAAGAAAAGCAACTGCTTCTGATCCCTACACTTTACTACTATCATATCGCCCCGTCGTCGTCGAAACAATAGGAAAAGGGTATTGAACGGCCAGAGACACACATAGAGAGACAACAAGCTCACTAGGGTTAAACCATGTTCACAGCCAGAGGTTACCCCTTGGCCACAGTCCGCTGAATGATGTCCCAGCACTCTCCAGGGTCCTCAAAGATATGCCAATTCTCACTGGGGTCCGCGTTAGCTCTGAACGTTTTTAATGATCGTGGTTGATCAGATGCTCACCGAGGAACCCCTTCGAAGGCCTTCTCGAATCGCTTATCCTCGTTCTTCTCTTTGATACCAACTGCAGCAACGTCTGTGACCTTCCGAATAAGGATCAACTTGATCCAACCCGGAAACGATCGAAAAATATCGCCTGGTACGGACGAAATCAAATCACATTGTCAGCTACGGTAAGTATTTCTCGCGGGTGTGGGTGCTGGGCTTACCATACGCCTCGGGGTCGCTCTGCGTCGAGTCGCCTACACAGATCAACTTGCGCCGAGGCAGCCAGCGGTGAATTTTCTTCATCCTGTCGGTTTTGTATCGTTCGGTCCCCAAAGTGAGGCTAGAGAGAAGGCCAGAGAGAGTCATCCAGCTGGAGTCACGAAGGATGAGTTGGCCGTGGGGATAAAATGTTTCCCTGAATTCGCGAAGGAATGGGTACAGGTTGTAAGGTGAAGCAGAAAGATAAAAGAACGGAGCAGAGGGTGTGAGAAGTTTGTGAAGTCGGGCGTATAGCTTCGGCATCCCGGACACTGGCATGGGCTCGGACTTTTTATGGCACCAAATTATCAGCTTCATGTATACCAATTAACGGGGAAGGGATGGGTGGTGGGACGTACCACAAATGTAGTTCGCAGAATGCCCACGGGGTCACTCGTTTGGGTGACCTTGATCGTATCATCAATATCTACATCATACGTGACCCAGGTAAGTCGACCGCAAGCACAAGGTATAATGATTTAGACAAGGGAGGGCAGGGCCGCCAGTGAACTCCCCTGCCAGAGTGACCTACCAGAGATTACGGCCCAACCTTCCGGCTCAGCGTAAAGCGTTTTCATCTTTAGTGACCCAACGACGCCCATGGGCACATCTGTGGTGGACTGTGCAAGAGACCCAGCCTTAGCGTTGGGGAGTTTCCTGACATCACTGCTGATGCCGTTTCTGCCCCCGGGCCCCAGCTTGATGGCAGTCGAACCCCCGAAATTGAGCTTCACCTGTCTTCCAGGCAGGACCTCCATGATAAACGGCGCAATGCGCTCCTCGATCGTCTGTTCCTCTCGTGCCCCTTTTGACAGCCCAACTTTGCTGGCAATGTCACCCACGATGTCGACCACCGCTGGCGAGGCTTGATGGTCGAATGTTGCGGCGACAAACTCTGCTTCCCATTGCCCTCCACGTCCGCGGAACGCAACGTTGTCCATCACCCAGACGACATCGTCCGCCTCGATAGGAGCCGGGAGGGGGTTGCTAGCCCCGAGGTATGAGAAAAGATGGGCTAATTTGTGAGCCTTGTGCAGTGCATGGCTCGGCCGTGTGGAGACGCTGGCGAGGGAGGATTCGGTGTCACTAAAATGGCCGTTCACCCGCGTCCGCTCCTCCATCAATGAAGAGGTCGATCGCTGGAAAGACATAGCTGCAGTCTGTGTCGTGGATTTATTTAATACTAGTTGACCGCGTACTAGTAGTGGGGGAGATAATCCCTCTGACTTCTGGATAAGGGTTGAATTAGGTGTGCAGGAATACCCGTAAGACTAGGCCTATGGGTGATGCCGGTTTGAAAATATCCGTAGACCTCGATCATCACTTAGTGAGGAGGTTGGAAAGGTATATCAACTTCTTTCGTGGCTGGGGAGGCTGGGGCTGCTGACACTGCCGTGTGCCTGCCCCACATGATCACAATTGGGCTAGGCATGCAAGGCACCTGGGGCGCTTAAGCTGAGGCAAGGGGCGCCGAGCGGCGACTGACCAATCTGCCAAGTCCTACCCTCAGCTGCCTCTTGCTGGTGAGTTGGCCCGGCCCAATAATGAAAAGCTCTCATTAATTACGAAGGAGTGCTGTTCCGAACACAAGCTGGCGATTTACGCTCCGTTCCGTTTCAAAGTCAATCAAGAGACAGCGACTCCAGCTCGATCAGGCACCCCTTTTGGTGTGGGTGGCTGTGGATAATGATCGGCACGGAAATGGAGCCTTTAGCGCCGGCACATCCCACCGTTTACAGCATCAACATGAATATGAGTTGACAACAACTTCGTGCCATTACAGGACAGATTTATGTTAGGGGTACTCGCCTTCCTTCGTTTTCCCTATCGGAAGAATCATTTTAAGACCTGCTGCCCCGAGAACAAGATAGTGAAGCACTGTGATAAATCTTACAGTGTGAGCAGCATTACAAACAAACCAGGGAGTTGAAAGAAGGTAGGGCCAACCTATCATAGAAACGGACAAGACAGCCAGTAAGGGAAAGAATTAAGACTTTGAGAATAAGGAAGGCTCTATTGGTTTCAATATAGGGTAACGTCTTGGCAAGCCTACTCGTGGGTGGGTTTGTTCGGCCGATCAGTCCAATACAGTCCGAAACGGCCCGGAACGGTCTGTATCGGTCTGATCGGCCGAGCATCCTCACGCAGGAACAGGCTTGCCAAGAGGTTAAATATATTACAGATAAAATATAGTATTCTATATAATATTCTCGCTGGAAATCAATGACTTATATATTATTATTATTTCCTAGTATTAGGGTTAGATCATATATGTCAGGCCGTGAGACCCGAGGGGTTGGTACACAAGAGTGAAGGGAGGTGCACG